ATCTGAAGATCAGATGCAGTGATAAAGCTGAAGAGAGTGAAGATACAGTTATGAGCAGCAGTGTCTCTACTTCATCAGCCAGTAAAAAGTAATCAGAGAAGTTGCAGAGACACTTACAAGAAGCTTAGCAGTAATCAGACATTGTTTATAAAGATATTAAAATTGAAAAATTTTTATTCTTGAGAAGTTCTTGAATCAATATATAAATATTATTAGAAATACTCTCTCTCTATCATCTGAATAAAAACACTTCACAGATGAATGAGAATACTCACAGTTATAAAGATAAGAGCTGTTATAGAAAAAGAGAAAAGAAGATGAAATTCTATAAACAGATCTGAGATATTTATACTACTCTAGAGAGATTTACTTACACTGTGAGTGATCTCACAGAATAATTAAATTACTCTAGTAAATAAGAGTGATTATGAATTACAGATCTGAATCTTTCTATATAACTATAAAGAGTGATTACAGACTGCAGATATCTTGATTCTACAATTCTATAGAGTTAGTGAAAGAATGAAAAATTCCTCATAATTCTACAGTGTTAAAGAACAATGATTTATAAGAATAAGTGAAAGATTAACTTATAAATATTTCTCTTTGATGAGAATAATCTCACAGAGAGTGATTCATCTGTAAGATAAATCTATGTAATGATCACACAAGAATCTTGTGAAAATGATTGAGAGTTAACTGAAACTCTTCTATATAAAAGATATAAGATGAATCTGTGTAATAGTCAGAGAAGAATCTATAAATTATAAAGAATCTTATGAAATAAGAAACTAAGTGATAGACTCTTTTCTCTTCACAGTAATAAGGAATTTTTCCTCACTGAGATTTTTTATAGATATGAAGGATTTTTAGTGAGTATCACTGCAGTGCTGAGCTGATTCTATGAAGTTACTCAGTGAAAGACTTCACAGACAAAGCCTTAGAGAGGAAGAGATATGTAAGAAATCTCACTTCTTATAAATTCTTTATCTCTATTTCTATCTCTCATATAATTAATAGAGCTAGCAGCTCTTGACTATACACAACTATATAGACTGGAGTTCATGAATACTATTTATAACTCAGCTTAAATGCTAATATATATTTAATCTCTACATTTTATCTTTCTACTGTGAATACTTCTAGTAGTTAACAGTACATATCACACCAAGCTGCAAACACCTGAATAATCGCCTGCGAGTACTTATTCTTATAGCAGCTCTGTAACTGTAATAACTGTCTTATCTCATATCTTTTCTGAAGCTAAAGAGTCTATTAATAGTGATTGAAACTTCTCAATGATTAAACTGATTAATTATTCAGATACTTTATCTTACTATAAAGTATAAAGAGAAGTTAACTCTTATTTTATTTCTTTACTGAGTATATATATTATAGCTATATTTAAATTCAATTCTTCATAGTCTGAGTAAATAATCACAATATTATATCTCAGTAAATTCTTGATAAATTGATTGAAGATCTGTAGATATCTCAATATCTCATTCTTATATTTTAATAGAAATATTCATCTTATTCAGATAATATTATCTGTAATTATTATTATAAGCTTCTTATCAGTGTAAGATAATATATTATTCTCAGTTTCAAGAGTCTTATCATTACTGAATATATTCACTCAAATCTTCAAGGTCTTACAGATGACATGACATGGTGTGAAATTCTTATAGAAAGTGTATTTCTATTTAGTCTTAATATATATAATACAGAATGATAATTTTTTCAGACTGATAATAACTATATTAAATTATGAGTCTCTGATTATTTTTAATATACTATTTTCACTAATATAATTAAGTTAATAATATCACTTATTTATCAGAAGCTGTTTTGAAAGAACTGCAGATAATTAAGATGAAAATAAGATAATAAAGAAATCAGTATCTGAATTCTTAGAATTGATTAACTGTTTAATCTTCTCATAGCTGAAAGATCTTAAAGACTCTGTACTTAGATTATAATCTATTGAGATTGTCTTTAATTTCAGAATAATTATATATATCACTGCTTTATACATTGAGTTATTCATTATCTCATAAAATGTTAGTGAGCTGTTGAATAGAATACAAATATTATTATGAGATAGATTAATATAGAAGATATCACTATTGATAGATAATAGAAATTTAAAGTAGTTCTCAGTATTAACTTGTATATCATAGTGAATATAGCTCTGATATTTTATAAGTTCAGTGAAGATTAGATTTGCAGATAGTTCTAATATATAGTATATATAATTAAATTCTATCAATCTTTCACTCACTGAGATAAATACAGTGTCAATACTCTGAATTTTCAGAATAATCTTATTAATCACTTAAACTATTGAATTATTAATTACTATAAGTTCTGAAAATTATGATTTATCACTCACTATGTGACATTCAGTGTTACTATCTTATATAGTGAGAGAATTCTTATAAGATTTTATAAAACAGACTGATATATTAATAATCTCTGTAAGATTTATTATCTGATAGATCTCTGATTTATCTGTAATAAATAGTTAAATTCTACTCTTACTATTATTCTTTTTCTTCTTTTTCTTGAATTTCTTTATTCTTATAGTATTGTTTATTCTTCAATTATTCAGAGCACTGTCTGAATTGATTAATTAATAGATATCAAAGTAAGATCTCTCATATTCAGAATATATAGATAAATTGTCTGATCTCTGATAATTTCAGAAGCTCTCTTATAAACTGTTATAATTATATTCAGTACAGTCTTCACAGACTGAATTCAATGTATTATTATTAGAATTGATAGATGTAGTAATTATTATAGCTGTTATAACTGTTATAGTAGTGTTAACTACAGAATCTATATTCTATAGATTCTTTTTATCTTTTGAAGAATTAAGCTGTGAATAAATTTTCTTCATAAGAAGATTAACATTCAATATCACAGCTGTGAATTTAAAATCTTATATCTTCTCTATCTTCTTTTAAATATAATTTCTTTAATTGTTGAGTAGAACTGAGTAGAAGATATTAAATATTTATATATCTGAGAGAAAAGTATTCATCATCTTCAATTTTATAATAATAGACTGAAATTTATTAAAGAATATATGTAGATTGATAATCTATATATTATTAAGAGACATGAATTTCAGAACTATCTTATAATATAACTATATTTTAAGAACAGAGTATTTCTATTCAATTGCATTTTATAGAGTATAAGTAATCTGATTTTCATTATATTTGAAGAAATGTGATCTGACATCTGTACTCAAGAAGTTTAAGATAAATATATAGAGTTATTGATTTCTGATATCTCAGAATAATACTTATTTATTATCTCTTTATAGAGAATTCTGAATCTATTGTTTCTCTATTATATATTAACACTGTATATCAATCAGTTTTAATTTCATGAAGATACTTTATATAATGTAATTAAATATATCAGTTAGACTGTTTAATCTCACAGTATTCTTAATATCTTTCTTAAATTAAAAGATTATCTTATTAACACAGCTATCTGATTTATAAAGATTGAATTTCAATCTTTCACTGAGATTAGAATTTCATATAACTGTATAAGCTATTGAGATAATGACAGAATAATTATTAATATTCTATAATTAATCTGTAGAGAATCTCTGTTAATAGAGTTTTTTCAGTTATAATTTAAGTTCTAGAACTCTTCACTTCTTCTTCTCTATTTTAAATATTATCTTAAGATGCTTCATCTGTTGATCTGATTTTATCTCACTTAAACTGTTAACTTCATGAGAATCAGCTTTATTAAGTTATTAAGTAGATTAAGAGACTGATCTGATCATGTTAGAAGCTATATTTAAATCAGCTTTGAATTGAGAGAGTGTTTCAGAGTGTTTATTAATAAAGCTTTCAAAAGCTTCAGAAGAATGTTCACTGACAGAGTATAAGTATAAAGAATCATCATCATTAACTGCAACTGACTCAGTGAAAAGAATATGAGATTATGAATATATGTATAAGTGAGATTGTATTGAATTCATTATCTTGATATTTATTTATTAAATTCTTGTTAATATTGTTCTCTTTTCTTACTTTTTTTACAAATGTGATGTGTTTTCTGTAAGTCTCTTTTTTAAGTGAGTAGTAGTATTATTAATCATCAAGATCTTAAATGCATTAATACTAATAGAATAAGACAATTTTAACTTCTGATGAGTGTATTGAATGAAGCAGTAGTTTAAATAATGATTATATTGATAAGGAATTCTGAATTGGCAGTGATTTTGTGCAAAATGAGTCTCATAATCTGTGAAAGGTGTAAAGCTTGTGTGATTGAAAGGTTGCTAGCTTGTGAAAAGTTATATGGTGGAAGGATTAGTAAGCCAGATCACGTGACCTGACATATACTCTGTACATACATTTGAGATCCGGCTCTCAACTTCATTAGTTACTCCGTCTCATTGCAGGTAGTTACTGTATATAAATTCCAAAATATAAATAAAATAAATAAATATAAATAAATAAATAAAAAATATCCCCGCCCTGTCCCTTCTGCCCCCGCAATACAATACCTGCTGAACACCCCCTTCACCAAACCTTATAACAAACACAAGCCTTCTTTCAAGCCACAATTGTGGAATATTGTTTAGTTCCAGGCTAGTACGTGTATGTACTGCAACTACATAACTAACTTAGTTATCTAGAATCATTATTAAATAAATTCTACGGCGTTCAACCAGTCCGATAAGGTAGTTAACTAATAACCATCACATAAGTTCCGTTTCAGAAAAAGAATTTGAAAGGAAAAAAAGCGCCTTAGGAATGAGGGAGCCACTACCTATCTATCCCCTGCCTCTCTACTCCGTACTGACAACCGATTGCAGTTGATATGTAATGTATGTACTGTACATACAAGTACTCATTGCACGGGGGGATGGATTGGAACCCTTGATATTCAATAATTACTGCTTGCACAGTGCAGTTAACTATGGGACATAGGAAATAATCCAGTAACCCAGAGAAGTAGAGAGAAAAAAAAGAAAAAAAGAAAAAAGTAATGAAAGATTCATCAAGTCAAGTTTATTACCTTCTAAGGGCTATCTTAATGTTTAATAGTTAATACAAATCATTAAAACACTAGAAATTTCGAATTTCTAACTTGGGTAACATAAAAGCTTGCTTTAAAAAAAAAAAAAAAAAAAAAAAAAAAAAAAAATAAGAAATAAGAAACCCATTTCGCTTCCCAGTGCTCCTGCTCCTGCTCCCTATCCCTATCCCTATCCCTATCCCTATCCCTATCCCTGGCCCTAGTTATCCCTAGCCCTTCCCTTGTCATGTCAATGTCATGTCATGTCATGTATGTCATTGTTTTGCCGAAAAAAGAACACCATTCCCCAATAGATAGCACATTACCAGCGTGCCTTTTTTTTTTGCCTTTTTGTTTTACGGAGGCGGGGGGGGGGGGAAATCGATTGTAGAATGAAAACCCGGTATAAGAATAAATGAAAAAAAAAAAAAAAAAAAAAAAAAAAGAGAAGAAATGGAAAGAAAGAAGAAGAGAGGCCTTCTAGACGGAGAAGAGGTCAGTCAGTCTAGGACTATTATTTCGTCTCCTTCTGAACCCTGTCAACCTTCTCCAGTACGTGGGGGTACAGCGGATGATCCTTCTCCAGGCCCGTGAGCTTCGTCGTCGCATCCGCGGCAGACATCTCCTTCAGGATCCTGAAGAGCTCAAAGCTCTCCTCGTCGTCCGGCACATTCTGGAACTTCAGCGCCTGCTCGACCGCGTTCATCAGCGCCGTGACGCTCTGGCCGCGCTCAGCGAGCTGTGCAGCGGGTCCGATGAAGCGTTCCTTGCGCGATAGTTTGCGGAGGGGCGCGCGGCCGACGCGCTGCACGATGTCCTCGAGGTAAGGGTTGGAGATGCGGGCGATGATCGTCTTGACGTACTCTGCCTGTTCCTGGGCGGGGATGCCGTGTTTCTCGATGATGAGTTTTGAGGTCTCTGCGAGGGCGGCGTTGACTTCGCTGCGGATCTTGGGGTCATTTAGGGCATCGTTGATCGTCTTCTTGCCGGTGGAGTAGCCGTAGTAGGCGGCGGTAGCGTGGCCAGTGTTGACGGTGAACAGCTTGCGTTCGATGTATGGTTCTAAATCATCCACCCAGTGGATAGCCTTGATATCTGGGTGTCCGACGTCACCGAAGGGGGTCTTCTCCACGACCCACTCGTAGAACTTCTCGATTTTGACGTCGAGGCCGGCATCAGCATCCTGGGTGGGCACGATGCGGTCGATGGCGGAGTTGGCGAACTGGGCACGACTGTACAGCGACGCACGACGGGATTCTTCAGTGTTCTCCTTGACGAAGCCGTGCAGGGTGTCTGTGGCTCCAATTGCGTTTTCACAGGCAATGACAGCTAATGGTTTAGACCCTGTTCGAGCATCGATTCCCTTGGCGATCGGTGGGGCGATGAACTTCAGGATGTTAGGACCAACGGCGCAGGTGACGACATCAGCGGTGGATATCTCCTTAATGACGTCGTCCAGGTTGTGTTTAGAGTTTATGGCGCGGTAGTTGGTGATGACTTTTTTCTGTTCTCCTTGTTCGCTGATCTCTGTGACGATATAGGATGACGTCTTTTGGAGGGAATCGATGATACTATCCATCACGTCGACGAAGACGACTTCATAGCCAGACTCGTAGAGAAACTCAGCCACGAAGCCACGACCAATATTGCCGCCACCAAAATGAACAGCCTTCTTTCCCATGGTTGAGGGAGGAGAGGGGGGTCAGTGGAAATGTGCTTTATTAATTGTGTTGTAGTTTGTAGGGTTGGCGGGGTAGAGTATAAAGGGGTTGGTTCCCTTGTATCTAGATATCAGGAGAGAGGTTACAACAGTGTGGGTGAGTAGCTAGAGTGGACAAGAAGAGGAGATCTAAGAGAATCTAGGGAGAGAAGATATCAAGAAGAGCTGAGGGTGAGTTGGTTGAACAGGAGGAGGGAAGAGATTGAAGGTTGTGTGGAAAGGGAGGAAAAAGGGAGGAAAAAGGGAGGAAAAAGGGAGGAAAAAGGGGAGAGAAATGGCAGCTGAGATTGGGCGGATGCTGTGCTCTATTTATGATTCTACGGATTGGTTCTACTCACCGTTTTGGCGGGGGTCCGGGACTGAGCAAATCTATGATTATGATTATGATTATTATTATTATTGAAATATGGCCACAACAAAATGAGCGCGCATCGTTAGTTAGTTAGTTACCTTGTTCTGAACTACATTTGCGAGAGGGAACTAGCTAGAGAACTGGAGCAACAATCGTCACAGGGAATCTACCCGTCGCGCAGAACGCATGCAAGTCGTCGGCTAGATTTTACCTAGGCCCCCTTGAACCCAATCATCATTTGGGGCGCATCCAAATAATATTTTTAATTTGCAATCCAATGAATGAATGAAACCCAGGCGATTCACAGCAAACCAATTGACCCCGCCCTCGAAACCCTCCCTCTCGAAACCCTCCCTCGAGCCCGCCAAAATTAAGTAGTAGTTACACGGGAGATACACCGAAACCGGCCCACTGTGGTATGGCGAGAGGGGTACCTGACAAGTCCCCGCCCAGCAACGACGTCATCGGGCCGCCTCCCCTCCCACTATCCTGAAACCGGTTTAGCCCGCGCGGAGGCTGAAAGCAAAACTTCTACTTCTAATTGCTCGTTGTACTACGTAACTATCTCGGCCATGATTCTTCAAACTCGATGAGATCAATAATATCAGTGAAAGCGGGCAACGTCTTTCTCCCCCCCCCCAAAGGAAGCTATATGTTAGTCCAACAGCCGTAGTTGTTATCAACAACCGCCCTGGCCAGACCCGGATAATCGCTGAACACGTCGTCAGTCCTCTCCGTTTGCATACATTTAACAGGCATTGGCATGGCATTATTTACCCAAGGGTCCAAGGGTCGGAAAGGCCTCGTCTCAGATCCTCTGCTACTAGGCGACTTCCAATCATTATTATTATTATTATTAGTTAACTTACCCTCTGACGGAACAAACTAGCCAAGGGTCCTCGGGCTCGATGGAGGTGGCGTTACGCCATCTCAAGGCTAGAGAACATCATGTCTGTCCAGGAAATTATTTGTCGCAAATTTTTCACTGGTAGGTATAATACAGTAAGGCACTTTATTTTATTTTATTTTATTTTATTTTCAATGAGAAGAAAGGAACCTCTTTTCTTATTATAACCCTTCACCGGATATAAAAATTCAGTATTGCGGATATTGAAGAAAAAGGATAGTTTATTGGCCAATTGAACATGCAGTTTGCTTTCACGGCTATTGGCTTGCAACATCAAGAAACACAAAATGAAAAACGAAAATCCGCAAGATTTTTTTTTTTCTTTAGAAAGAATGTGCCCTCGCTATCATGGGCACAAAAATGACAAGACAGACAGACCTCCCGAGCGCCAGGGGTGGTCAACAGGGGGGGGGGGCTTTGCTTGGAAGTGCAATGCACCACCATCAGCCCAACTGCTGCCCGAAAATATTATCCCATTTTAGGTTCGGTTGGTTATTCTCTTGAAGAGGGTTCGCGTCCGACTTATCTAGACAGCTAGCTAGTATTATTATTGCTGAGGGAATAATGGCAGTATTTTTTGAAAAGGAGGATTCAACGGAACTACAATTAGCCCCGGATAACATCACGCCGGCTCGAGGAGGAGGAGATGGGTTCAATATCAATTATATTGCCGCTACTTTCTAAATAAACCCGGCAGTAAGCCATTATTATTGCAATTATCTATCTATTCTGCTGGCCGATCACATGCCTGGTATCAGAAGTGGTATTGAAGTGGTAGGGAAAACCGAAGACATTTTTGCCTGTGAAGAATTGATGACGAGGGAGACGATAAAAATAAAAAGCTGATGATGTTCCACGGATATTGGCGCCGTTCCATTTTAGCTCCAATCTGGTGGTCAGGTCGGGTATCATCATCAGGGTCATCAACTCAGCGCTTTTTGTTGAACTTATTATTACTGTATGTGTATGTATGTATGTGCTCTGTTAGATGCGCTTTTTTTCTTTTTTTGAACAGTTCTTTCGGGTTGAACAACTTGCTAAGTAAGGCTCGACATGTGGAAGGGAACGAACCCCAGCAGTGATCCGTCATGCTTTTCTATCTTGTGTTCGGCTTTTCAAGGGCCCTTGGGTTGGTTTTCAATCCTGGCATCAAAATCGTCGTTCCCCCCCCCCCCCCTCTTTTGCCGTAGTTAAATGGTGCGACGACAGCGCCGAAGTATGCCAAAATGGGTCCAGGTTTATCGTTGGTCTCGACGACTGTTAACAGGAAAGGGGATAAAAAAAATAAAAATAAAAAAGGTCCACTCCCACTGATTTACTACATTTCTTCTATATATCTATGCACGAAGTAGCTGGCTATTCCGCTTTTCAACATTAATAACTATTATTCTATACGTTTGGTATATTCTCCGAAACTATCTACCAAAATGTCGACGCTCGCTTTTTTTTTTTTTCTTCTCAGGCTCCCTTGTGTTTTTCAACCCACCAGACATTTCTAATCGACAAACTATCAGAGCCCGCTATCTTAAGAAGTTGGAACCCGGGGAATTCAATGCCAAAACGAGGTCCAGGTCCAGGAGTAAGAAAGAAAGAAATTGATGCAAGCCCCCTTTTTCCTACCTTCGAAATACCTCTCTCAACTCGGACCCTTCTACGTCGTTGCTTTAGGTGTTGCGGCCGCAGGCTATGTATGCTCAGTAAACATGTTTCGGTTCAGTGATACAGGAAAATACTTTCTACCATGAGTCAGAACAGGCTTTATATTCTTAACCCAAGCTTCCTGGCTATGGGAGGGAGGTTTTATCAAAATGGACAAAATGAGAAGAAAACAAAAAGACGCCAGCCTTTATTCTCTGATGTAGTGCAGTAAAAGGAAAAGAAAAAAATTCACACCACAATCGCACAACTACAGACAATATATCGTACAAAAACATACCTAAAGAACGGTCATCCAAAGAACACGTGGCGCCTCATGAATAAATGGAATGGGAAGACAGGGGGGTATGATGTCTATATAGTACATGATCAATAGAAGGTATAAGAAAGAATGAGAACTTGATAGTGCTCCATGATAATTGTAGAAGAACAACCAGAGAGACGAAGCATGGATCTAAAATATACAGATGTAAGGTAATTAGCTGGATCGATCAAACAACGGACGCCACGCGAGACACGGAATCCATGAGGGGCGTCGAAAAAAATTAGAGGTATAGGTGTTGTAAAAGCGGAATTGCAGATGCACAAGAAAATGCAGCAAGCGGATCTGATAAATGAAATCATTCGGCACAATTATTGATAAAATGCTTTCCCCTCTATTTCTTTGGACTGAGAATGGCCTTCAGCTGTTGATTTTCAGTTGTCAGCGCGGTCCGCTCTTCAGCGCTGAGCGACTTTTCCTTAAGCGCCAGATCATGTAGTTGCTTGGCCTGTTTCAGGATATAAACTGACTCCTCAAAGGGAGGTAGATAGTGCCGAGAGAATGGCCAAGAGCCCTCAGCAACTCTCTCCGATGCAGCTTTGACCCTTGTCCCTTCATCATCCACGTCTTTGCCATGTTTAGAAAGCGTCGCGTAGGCAAGCAGTGATATGAGCTTGTCCACATGAGGCCGCAGAGCGGTAATTGCGTCTAATACCCTCTTCTTAAACACATGATCGGTAGTCTGCGGATCCGACATGCGTGACCGGACCGGAGTGGATTCCTGAACGCTTTCCTCCGAAATGCCATATCTGACAAGTTCCACGTACTTCGAGAGGATTTCAGGCTCCGGCTGCATGAGCGCCGTATCCATAATGCCGACCAGTTGGCCTGCTGTCTCGAGTACGTGCGGGTTCTTCCGATCGCGGGAACAACAACTTATCGCGATGACGAAGGTTTTGCGCGCAACCATGCCGGCTCGAGTTAGCATGGCTTTAATGACTCGAAGGGTTTCGGCGCTGGAGCGAGCAATGCGCAGTAGGCGCAGATATTCGTGGAAGGAATGCGTGTCTGGCTTTATCGCGGACTGTGCAGGTCCCGATGTGAAATGTTCCCAGTACGCTCGACCAATGGCAATGCCGTTTGGCGTGGTTCGGGAAGCTGCTAGTACCAAGGATAATTCGTCGTTTGTGGGAATGGGGCGGGTGATTTTTGGGCGGCGGGAATTCCTATTCGCTTGAGAGGTTTTACGGATCTGCGCGAGGTCTACTGGGTTGAATAGTCCTTTAAACTCTTCGGCTTCTGATAATGGTTCGGGCTCTTCATTGAATTGTTCGGCTTCTTCGTCTGGAAATCCCGATTCTTCAGATACTGGTTCCGGCTCTTCGGGCAGCTGTTCCGGTTCCTCAGATATCTGTTTCGGTTCCTCGTTTAGAAGAGGGTCTGTTTCATCGCTGTCCATTGACACCTTCTCTGACTCTGGGCTGATTTCAGAAGTGGCTTCTTGTTGCTGTTCCGCCGGCTTCAGGTCGTCTTGCTCTGTATGTTTCGCTTGCTCTGTATGTTTCGCTTGCTCTGTATGTTTCGCTTGCTCTGTATGTTTCGCTTGCTCTGTATGTTTCGCTTGCTCTCTGCTTCGGAGTGCTCCAAGCTGCGCCTCCACATCTTCAAGAAAAGGAACTTCCATCGTTTGGTGCAGCAGAGCAAACACGTCGAGGCAATCGCGTTTTCGTAGGCCAGAAACAAGCAAACGCCCCATCGCAGACACTAGAGGTTGGTCGACAACAAATGCTCCCATTTTCCATCGACGTACAACATCAGCCCATATTCTTTTCCCTTCCCGCACCGCTGCCGCTCTCTTCTCCGCAATCCCATCCGCTTGACTACGCGGATTAAACGCCTTAATTTCGTTGGCTGTACGGGTGTGGATGCCATTGAGTATAATCGTAAAAGTCCTAGAGTCTGGCGCGCCGTCACCACGTTCAGGAAGGGACCCAGCCACTTCCCACAGAGCATCCATATTACCATGTCTGGAACAAACGCCCAAAACGGCGTTGGCATGCAGGATAGAGGGTTTGACTCCGGAGCTGGGTGAGCACAAGCTTTTGTAAATCGAGCGCGCTATCTGTACTGCTTTATTTGAACTGCTGTGCGCTAAGCCTCGAAACATAATAGTGTAGGTGTATGTGTTAGGCTTCCGACCTCTTTTTTTCATCTGTATCCAGTATTATTAGTTTTCGGAATGTTTGACAAGAATGGAAACAGGGCATTCATTCTCACGTCGTTATAAAGCTTGAAAGCCGCAACCGGCTTATCATTTTTCATCTCATGGTCAAACAGCTCGTTCCAAGCAACCATACAATCATAGCCCCTCGACTGGGCCGTCCTCACCAATGTAACTGCCTTCTCAAAGTCCCCCTTTTTAAGTATCTGCTTCACTCGGTTTGACAGAGCAACCCGATCCCTTGCCCACTCCAATTCAATGTCGATTGCCTTCTTCGACACCGTTGGCCTCCATATTCTTTTCTCACCTGGTTGTAATTTCCCGTCAGCCCCTACCTTTGAGTCCTCGCCAAGATCTGCTGCAACGACCTCCTCATCTTTCACATTGGATTTCATATAGCCGGTCTTCTTCCAGGATGGCGCACGGCGTGGAGCATCTGATCTTAATCGTGGGGCACGTTCCGCGCCACGCGGAGAACGTCTATCGGACCTCGAGGTAGAAATACTCCTCCTATATTCGGATCCATTCAGAGCAATATGCTTCGCCGGAAGCCCTCCTGGGAGTCTACTGAATAGAACGGAGACTCCATTGCCAGTCAATCTGGTAGCAAATGTGCTACGGGCACAGACATTGCTGCACCGAAGCATTTAAATCACGCCTCCTCCGGATTCTTTCCTCGGGGTAATAAATCTGTGCTGTTCTCTCGAGCTTCCGTAATAGAATCAACGGTGTTTAAATCTAAACTTGTTAGGGAATCTCCGTGGATGGGCTGGTAGACGGGTACGAGGTGGGAAAACTTACCACAATTTAGTCCTTTTAATTTCAAGTTCCTCAACAGCCTACCCTATTATCATAAGGGAAAATCAACTCAATTTTCTGTGGGTATGATAGAACCGTCTTCTATCTGCTACGGCGCGAGTTAGTCGCGCTCAAAAATTATTTTCAGCGATCCGCCGGATGAACTAAATTCCGCTGAAACCACCTAATCCAATGAAGCCAGGGCAAGAGAACATCATACAGTATATTCAACGATCCCATTCTATGAGCTAATCTATATTGGTTTTTTTTTCCCCGCTGGTAAATCCTGAAATACCTATATATATATAAGCGTATAGTTCCTCAGCTACCTAGGCATCTGCTCACAAAAGGCCGCCAAACCTTATTATTCTACAATTTCCACATCTTGCACAATATGTATGCAACGAGCTGTTGGTATAATCACTTCCATCCATATGTCGCTTTCTAACATTATATTAGCCAAAAAGCCAGATCCGAAAGCTAAATGCCCCTCTATGCATTTGGTTCAAACGGCTCAGGCCAGTTAGGGATCGGCCACTTGGACGATGTTCCAGCTCCCACTCGGTGTCTCTTTGTACAAGAGAATAAAGAAAATCATTCAGACGGAATCGACATTCCCCTCGCATCAGATGAACCCACCCAAATCGCCGCTGGGGGGAACCATACTCTAGTGCTTTTCAAGTCCGGCGCCGTATATGCTGCTGGAACTAATCAGAACGGCAGATGTGCACATGATCCTGATAGACATTCCTCGTTACTACAATTCAGTAGAGTGGTATTTGTCAGAGAAGACGGGAGTTTCGTTAATCGCTTCAAGGCCATTTCGGCAACATGGGAAGCGTCCTTTTTCGTCGATGCAGAACGGGGTCATCTCTACGCCTGTGGAGTGGGCAATAAAGGTGAACTAGGGCTGGGGGCAAATTGCGTGCAGGCAAATAGTCCCACGCGGATTCGCGACTTTCCACCACCCGCGGCTGAAGTAATTTCTATCTCTAGCAGCCTTTCCCATACAGCGGCAACGCTATCGAATGGGGAAGTGTATGGATGGGGAATCTCGAGGAAAGGTCAGCTAGGTGAAGGGAATGTACAAAAGAAAATTCTGTGGGCACCGCAAAAGATCGAGGATATTTCATTCTTCGCTTGTCAGGTTGCCTGTGGAAGAGAATTTACAGTCATTGCTGGAAGTGCTGAGACGGGGGAGATTGCAATTTTTGGATCTGACAAGTGGAACATAATCTCTGGTGCACCGAAGGAGATTAAAAATTACGCCATGCTAGCAGCCAGTTGGCATGGTGTATATGTTCATGGACAGGATGGGTCTACCAGATCGTGGGGCAGAAATGATCGCGGCCAGTTACTTCCACCAAAGCTTCCACAGCCGACGAAGCTGGCAATAGGGAGTGAACATGTTGTTGCTATAATTGAGAGCGGGGAGGTAGTGGCATTCGGATGGGGTGAGCATGGCAACTGTGGACCAAACACCGATACACAGGGCAATGTGGCTGGGCGGTGGAATGAGATCCCGCTGAGCATTGAAGACAGCAGGACGGTCACCGGTGTAGGAGCAGGTTGCGCGACAAGTTGGATTATGACGGCCTGAATGCATATACCTCTCGTGGAAGGCTCGCATCAAGCATATTAACAGAGAAGGAGCCAAACGTGCCTTCTTGTCAATTTGCCGATCCCCATACGGAGCCCACCAATTCAGCTATCAGGTGGCTACTTTATGCAGGACGCAATATATAATTCAAACCACTTCTCCAGCAATGTCAATCGAATATCCCTCGTACCTATTCTAAAGTCAGTATCAGCATGCCAAAACATAAGGATATACATACCTGAGATATCCGTTGCGTCGGAGGTATTGCTACGGAGCTTTCCTGGTCCTGGGCACTTCGCTGTCTCATACTCGCCCCAGTGGGCGTGATATCCTGGATCCGCCCTCCAATGCTCGCCTGCAGCGCATCCTATAGAACTGAGTTAGGTTTGCCGATCGAAAACGAAGAAGTAACTCCTGACATACCTGATCCATGTGTGTATCCCATCCAAGAGTGTCCTCCTCCTCATCACCATACTTCGGCTCATCCCATTGTTGGTCGTCGTCAACCGGGACGAACAATGATTCGAAGGGAACTGACGCGTGTGGCGGGTGCGGCAGGACACTCGTCTGAGTTTCCTCTCTGGCTGCTGCTTGCGACGGTGGTTGGAGAGGGTGAGCTCTCGGGACAGATTCCGGAATCTCAGGTGGCGGAATGGCTGTAGGCTCTCTTGAATGGGCGGTAGTAGAGCGTGGATATGGCCGAGCAGATAACTCGCGATTCCTATTTCCAGATCCGGGCGACGTCTCTCCACTCTCCCCTCTCGTCATTAACGTGAACTCGCACGTCATCCCACCTACTTCGTACGACACCTGCATTGGCCGGCATGGACGGGTATATCGTGCCACTACCCTTGCACTCAATGAATGCGCGTGGACGACAATGGCCTTGAAGTCCTTGACGTTGATAGCGACATGGAGTTTATCCTCCACTGTGAAATGGTCAAAATCTTTGATGTCAATAGCTACCGACGTATGAACGGGTTGCTTGAGGATTTCTGCAGATAAAGGTTAGACATTTAGAGGCTAGAAGCAGTTTTCATGACCAATTAATGCACCCCCTTCCTTACCTTTTCCATCTGCAACTTTTGTAGTAAAGCTTGTGAACACCACTCGATTGTTTTCAGAGGATATATCCAACTGCTCAGCAGTATGACCAAAATGGTCAATAATTTCTCGCAGATACTTGGAATCTATGCCCCATTGGTTTTCGGTCTTAGATTTGTCGAAAAGAGCATGCTGAATTTCCGCAGCTTCGTAAGTTAATTTGTATGTCTTGACGACCCCTAAATGACGCACGTTAGCGTGCCAAACACAAAAAGGAATCAATGCCAAAAAAAAAAAAAAAAAAAAAAAATGGGTTGCGCCATACCATGCCTGCATATCATCTGGATGATAAATCTGCACTGGGTTTCGTCCGGACTGTATTGAAGCCGCATTTCACAACGTTCAACAGCAGTCTCTCGGTCTTTGAAGTCACTTGCTCGGGCCCTAAACACCGATAAGAGCGTCTGGATAAATTATTAGCAACTAGTAACACACGAGTGGCACAGGAGACCCCTCCCCCCCCCCCCCCCCAAAAAAAAAAAAAAAAAAAAAAAAAAAAAAAAAAAAAAAAAAAAAAAGTATCGTTCACGAACCTTTATGTATAGTTGACAGGTTAATTTATCTGCCGCACTTCTCCTCCCAGAGCCGGATGCAATGCGCCCCGAGCCAACAAACATATACTGTGAGAAAAATGTAGAGGCATCAAACTTGAAAGATGCATATGCTGACTTTGTCAGATTCAGTGCAGAGAACCGGAGCTGTCATGTTTCCGCTCCATTACTTTTCTGTCAGCCAGCCACAAATAAATAAACCTTCAAAATGTAGGAGGTATTGAAGAAGAAAACTCAGAAAATTGTCCATACGAAAGATTCTTCAGCTTCAATCGATACGTTCTCGTTAAATTTTGCAAGGCATATGAGCACATCATGCAGCTGAAGTAGAGCATCGGGGAGTAGCGTAAAGCTGAGCGAGGTCATGTTTTGGAGATTGGAGGGTGCTCTACTGGGGTGAACACTAGGAATGGCGAGGGAATAGGGACGCGATTTACGTGTCTGCTAGTCTTGAACTTCATCTGAGCTTGCCGGTATATTCTTTCTATCTATATTGCACGCGTTGTAGGCGAATGGCGACGGAGCAGTCTGGAGACTTGCTAAAGTTAACGTTAACTTAGGAAATTAGCTTAGGTAATCGATCAATCGATCGATGCTTGTGCTTTCTGGTCAAAAAGTAACTTCTAACTGGCGAATGAATGCATTTAATTACTCTCTTCTTCGAAGATTGCGCAATAATATAATGAAGTATTCAAAGTAGTATTTATTTAATAGCAATCCATTGATATGGCCCTACCGAACGTAGTATCTTCCTAATGGGCCCAGATAGGGGGTATATCGCTCAACTGAAAAATTGCGGACGTCTATCCGTTCTACATCTTTGATGACTATTCATTCTTACATGGTGTGGAGAGGAAGAGGAATCATATAGATAATCAGCCCTTGTAGTTAGTTGGATTAGTCTGTCCAAACCCAGCACCTGGCGGGATCGGCGATATTGAACAGCCATGTTGGCAACCAGCAAATTCTGAAAAGGAATTCAGATAGAGTGGAATAAATGAAGAATGGGAAGGAATTGGTTGAGAAGAGCTAAAACTTAATTGAAATTCGTCGAAAGAAGAGAAAAGAAAAACGGAGAGTGGGAGAGTGCGTAATGATAGATAATAATAATAGAGAAGTAGAGTAGGGAGGAGGGGAGAAGGAGAAAGAAGTAGGAGAAATGAGGATGTGGAATGTGGAATGTGGAATGTGGAATGTGGAGAGTGAGATGAATTAGACCAAATTGCACAAGATAGATACGCAGTAGATACATACATACACAAGAAGAAAAGACAATCAATCCTATAGAGAGAAAGAGGGAATTAAAGCTTTCAATACAAGAGATAGAACATATTGCAAGGAACAAACTCCCACCAGTCACTTCAATTTCAACTGATCAAATACAAATGAGGAAAAAGAGAAAAAGGAGGAACCAAAGAAGGAAAATGCCATTATATACTCATATATCCATTCTCATACCTTCTTCTTTCCTTTTCCTTTTGACCTGCTTGCATTAGAAAAACTTTCCAATCAAGCATAAAAGAGAAGAACAAAAATCCTTAAATACTGCAGCTTTGCCCTTTCTCCGTTCTTCAATTTTTTTTTATTTTTTTGGGCCTCTCTTTTCGACGCTCTCAGTCCTCACTCAGCCTTATATCATAACCCTTCTCTGGATTGGTAGATCTCTTCTTCTCCTTCCCAACTTTCTCCTCCTCTTATTTCGATTGAATCAAATAGTGGTCGTAGAGGCACAGGGTGGAAGGAAACGGGATGTTACGCTATGTATAGTATGTACGACTGATAAAAGGGAAAGAGATCGAGAGGCGAAAAGAAATAAATTGTAGAAAGTATGCCTGGGTGTGATAAGATAGACACAAAGCCAGGTTTTATTTGGAAACACAAGAAAAAAGCATAGGAAGAAATTGATTTAGGTAGAGAGTGGGGAGCGTAATAGAGAAAGAAAAAATGTGTAGAGAATTTGGTATTTAGAAATAATGAGAATAAACGTAGCAGACATATAAGCTACGCGCATAACAATTTGCACTCGGTATGGTTGTATATGAGAATGGGGAGTTCGAGGTTGAGGAGCGAAGGGGAAAAATCCATACAATGTCAGAAAACCACATATAAACCAAAATAGCGAATGAGGCAACCAAGCATTCATAAGGGATGTGTAAAAAAAAACAAAAAAATGAAGAAAAACAGAACAAATGATAAGGTGCTATGGGGGGGGGGAGAGGTATGTATTGTATCTCGAGCGAGGCGGTGAGAAAATAAGGAACATGGAATGATGACAAGAAACCACAAGGGGAGGGTAACAATGTTTGTGTGAAATAGCAAGTGAAGAACAATAATGGTAAACTGGGGAATTGTGGAGGTAAAGCACAGCACACTAAGAAATTCCCCTCTCCTTCCACTCCCGCACACATGCGCACACTGGAAATGAAACCTTGACACAAACAGAGAAGGGAAAAAAAAAAAAAAAAAAAAAAAAAAAAAAAGGCCGATCAAGACAACCCCCTCAAATATATGTAATAAAATGCCAATTTAAGTAAAAGAAGGGAGAGAGACGGAAAACCCCCCTTGATGCAGCAAGAGTGTGCGTGTCTCAAGCAAGTATGCAAGAAAATGTATGTCCGGAGAATTTTGTTCTTTTCCCCCTTTCTTCCCCTTCCATTTGTTTACCTCCGCCTTTCCCTTTCTTTTTCCCTTTGCCCTTTTTCTTTTCCCCCCATCAAATCAAGCCCTATTGGTAGCTACTGGATTGATTTTCTGGGGCTACAGCATCAGCCGTCAGTACCACGCTGTGATACAAGATAGAAGAGAACAAAAAACGATTAATATTTATAGGGAATAAAAATGCAAATTTTGTTTCTTTCCCAATGCACGAACAAACACACACACACACACACTAGAAGGAAAAAAGCCAACGACTTGTTGTTTCCAGCGTCCCCTTTTTTCAAAGCTTCTTTCTTTCTTTCATTTTGTCGGTTTGGAGGAGGATAGAATAAAACTTGAACAGAGAAGACTCCAGATGAGAGAGGGAGGCAGGGACGTGTGAACGATCACTCACGCGGTTGGTATACCTGGTTTCCCTGGCCATACGGGGAATGAGGGTAATTGGCTGGAGGATATGGCGCTGCCATCTGGCCATTGCTTGGGGGATATACCAGGCCAGCTCCAGCGGAAGCGCCGTACTGACCAGGGACCTGGCCGTCCGCAGGCTGATATCCAATGGGCGGTAGCTGAGGACGAATACCGCCAGGGTACGACGTTGACTGGGCCGCTTGTGAAGGGTCAGCCGGGGCGCTGCCATCGACCTGCTGGTTCGCCTGTGCGGCCGCACGCTCTCGCTCCTCAGCAGCCTTGCGTTGGTTCTCTTCTTCCTTCTTACGGGCCTTCCATTCCTTTCGGATTTCTTTGAATTCTAAATTGTTTGGGAAGACAAACCCCCAAAACGCGGGGTTGGGTGGTGATGTTAGCCAAGGTTGCAGATAAAGATAGAATGAACCAACCAGACGGGTTAGAGATAGCGCGGATGGTTCTTAGGGGTGTTGGGAAGTGTGGGCTATGGGTAGCGTCGTCTTGGCGTCGGGTATGGTTTTAGCTAACGGCGCCGTTGCGCGCTACTGCAAAGGTCTCCACGTGTGGTTTCCAGCACCCGTGGACCAGCGCAGTGTAACGCGACTAGCTCAATGCAAGGGCGAAGCTAACCACTTCAAGCATTTTGCGACCAAACAACAAACGGGAAAAAACACACAAGACCACGCGCGTCAGGGGAATAAAATAAGAGACGCGTTGTATAAATAGATAAAAACAACAAACCTTCTGGGGTTCTTTTCGCGCCATGCGATTGCATTGTGACGTGCGCATTAAGGTGGTTTAAGGTGCCATATGCCTTTTCGCATCCATTCCAGCCACACTTGTACATTCGCTCGATTTCTTCATATCGGCGGCGGGGGCGCTTGTGCTGCTGGGCACCGGGGATTGGGACGAAGGAGTATACCTGGGAGAGAGAATGAGTCTGTGTAGACAAATGGAATCAGATGATGTGTTCGATATTTTGCTTCGTTCGAAGGTAGTTCGTACGGCGCCACAAAACAGAGTCAAAGCAGTCACGCACGCGCACTGCAGATAAAGGGAAGCGGAAAAGAAGGGAAAGGCAATAAAAAACAAAAAGCATTCAAACCGTACCTGTCCTGGACGAGGGCCTGCGGTCGCAGCTGGAGACGCAGAACCCACCGTTGTGCCAGGCGAACTATATGGCCCTGGCAAGCCATGTGGATGCTGTCCATATTGATGTGGTGGCCAATCTGGACGGCCGTACATCTGTGGAGGAGGGTGACCCGGATATTGAGTCATTTCGTGACCCTGGGGATTATATGGGGAGTACGGAGGAGGATATGTGGGGCTCGATGCCGCAATTGAGGGATCTATAGGAACGGCGGTGTCAGATTTATTAATCGATGGAGCGCGCTGGTCACTCTGTTGTCCAGTTTGTAAGGGCAGAGACGGACTTGTTGCTTGAGCCATACCTGCCGCGCCGCCGGGCTGGGTATGAGGCGCGTGATGGTACTGTGGCTGACGGGTCAGGTATTCAGGATAAGGGCCAGGAGGAGGGCGAGCTGCGGGCGGAGGAGGGGCTTGAGGTTGAGGCTGCGCTTGCGCTTGATGCTGCTGTTGCTGTTGCTGTTGGGGTTGGGTTTGGGGAGGAGCGGGCGCCGGCGGGTTCAGACCGTAGTCCGGCTGGGGGGTATTGGAGGACGAAATGTTGGATGGTCGCCCTTCCGCTGGCGCAGTGTACTGAGTGGCGGGTCGGGCTTCGGGCTGCGAAGTGTACTGACCGGACGCAGCAGCAGCAGTCTGTTCTGCAGCCGGTCGTTCAGAGTGTGGCTCCGCCAATGTTGGATTCGGAGAGTGCAAACCTGGCTGCGCGTAATCAGAGGCCGGCCTGTCCATATAATGACTTTCTTGCGTCTGAAAATGGTAAAGATCCCTTTCTATTTCCCCCCTACAAGCAATAAGTCCTAGTCTCTCTTGCGACTAGGCAGCGAAACACTAGATGTGCACTTTTGGGGGAACTGTTTCGCTTGGCGCAACTGGAAGGAAAAAAGGTTTCCTCACAAGAACAGCAATGAACTTCTGTACGTTACGTGCTAGTGAGAGCCAGTGAGGTGTGCCTGGGCACGAAACAATCCGCGTTATTAGCTGGAGAGGCGGAGGAGGGTTAGGGAGGATAACAAGGAACAAGCTGCGGGAAGCGCGTCGGGGTGGGACGGACGGAGGTAGCTCCTGTAGGAGGCCAAAAGCAACCGAATACAAGAAGACCCGAAGATTGCCTGTTTGCGTTTGGTGTAGTGGCCTTAGTCGTGATGAACTACTAAGAAAAAACCGGGGAGGGAGCTAGAGATAAAGATGACGGCGTATTTTGGAAAAGGAACGATTGAACGATGGGGGGTGAAGGTTTGCAAGTGTGTGTGGGTGTGTGTTCTCTGGGAAGTGTGGTTTTGTGCGAGTGCTTAATCGTCTTAGCCGGGACTTTAGGGGCTTCAAGCTGTACAGGCTTTAACCTTGACTGACACCACACGAGATCCGTAGGGTGCAGGCTTTGTCAAACCCAGAAGGATGAATGGTGCGAGGTACAGTAATAAGCAAAAATAAAAAGCCTCTAAATAAAGTACCAGGTGGCAGCACCGCAGCTCAGTAGGGGTTTCGGGAGTAAATAAGCGTGGTATCGTTTGGTAGAATCGCGGGGGCGATGGGAGACTACGCTGCGTACTACGAGCCGCTGGCTTGTGATGGGACAAGGAAGGTCGGTAGTGGCAGTAACTTAAAAGGCTGGTGCAGTGGTTTGGTGGTGGTTGAAGTGGATTGATGATTGGAGAGGTGATGGGGGCTAGTCTGACCAAAAAGCTGCGTTGTTCCCAGTTTGACGGGAGGAGTTAAAGTAGTAGGTTGTCGTCTGAAGTAGTGCTGGAACGAAGGTTCGATCGTGGCAAAGCGCTTGGTTTTGATCTCGGTCCAGGACTGGTGGAGCGGGAGGTCCTTGGGGAAAAAAAAAAAAAAAAAAAAAAAACAAAAAAAACAAAAAGAACGAGCCAGGTGGGAGAAACAATGCGACCTTGGGGCCCTCTGCTGCAGGATAGAATACCCGAGAAGCTGGGCGGAGTCGAGCTGGGCAATTTCCGGCGGACCAAGTAAAATGCGATAAAAAACAAGCAAATATGGTACTTCGAGTGGGTAAGCAGTTCCTCAACCCACAGCGAAAAAGTGGAGCCGGTATCAGGATTACCGGACAACAGACCGCGGTGTATTTTTCTCGTCGTTTTATTTTTTCTTGTCGCTCAGTGATAGGTTCCAGCAGCTGAGAACAGTGAGAGGCGGTCGGGTGGAGCTCGATAATATTTTAGTATTTTTAGACTGGTTGGAGACGGTGTCCCTAGGCAATCATAATAATGATGATTATTAATCCCCCTAAGTCAAGCCTACGCCCGTAGCGTGTAGTGGTGTCCTTGTTCCTGCCTCCCTGCTCCCCAAGTGTCCAGCAATCAAAAGAATAGCCCTCCTTCAACACCCAGAAAGAGCAGGAAATTCGTATCCGAGAGCAACAGAGGAGACACGTACGTTCCAGGATTTCCTGTCTCAGTTATCGCCACTCCCAGGAGTATCTCTGCTCCCTATTTCCCTCTTCCTTGTGATTTCCTCGAATTCGCAATCCTGGGCGTCTGAACCTTGTTCCCCAAAATTTCCAGGGGCCTGATAGGCCGAAGACGGGAGCGAGGGAGTTGTGTATTATTGGGGCCAAGAGGAGGGGTTGGTGGGCGTGCTGTGGTCCCGCTGCTTCTGCTTGTCAGGTGTCGGTACGGAGTACAAAAGGAATTATACAGGAGCGAGGGCGGGCGCCACCGATTTTCAAAGGGATACAAAATTGGGACAAAAAGATCCCCCCCAAAAGTTTAAAATAAAAATCAAAGGATGATGAGGATGGATTCCGAGCAGATAAATTAGTTTTTAAGGGACCCACTCTCCGCCAATGTCAACCAGACGGATGTTGTCAAAATGTTACCACAATCTTCAGCAACAAACCGTGCGCAAAAAGTATTTTCTGTAGTTAATAAATAATGACTTGTACCAGCAATAGGCCAAATGATCTTGACCCGTTCCGGCAGTGGTGGTGGGAGGTGAGGGTGTGATTCCGGTTCCTCTTCTTGCTCTTTTGCTCTCTCTTGGGTCGTGAAGCAAAGAAGCTTTTCCTCTCTGTCTGCTTCTGTTTTTCTTATTTTCTTGTTTATTGACTCCTGAAAGAATTTACGCGTTTCCACCCTGGTTGCGAAAACACCGGCCAAACGGCACGCGGAAGGGAAGGTGATTGGGGCAGAGCTTGAGAGAATAAGACAATCAGCCAGGTTTAAATCCATCGAATTCGTCGCCCAATGACCCCCAACCCTTCGCCATGATGGACTTTTTAGGGGTGAATTTGGGCGGAGATGTCTGAGTGATGGGATGGGGGTTGATGGGGTTGAATGCGGTTGGATCAGGGGGAGCCAAGGGGGTAAAGTACTTACCAAAAGCGTGGAACTAACTGTAATAGTCGCAAGCGCTGCTTTTTAGCAAGAATGGACTCGTGGCGATGCACCAGGGGCACAAGAAGGTTAGGGCCTTGTTCGCAGCCAAAAGCAGGACACTAAGAGCGCTTGGGAGGTTGGAGCAAGTGTTGACTAGGATGAGAGGGGAAAGGCGCGGCAGACTAACGCGGAGTCTAAGCCCAGCTTTTGAAGCTAAGCGAGGCGACTGAGAGAGAGCGCTGTATTAGTCATGGCTGATTAAGGCGGGCACTCACCCACCTCACTGGCTGAAATCACTCATCATGTGTGTGGCGAGAGTTTAACAATGCTGGAAATATATTATTTTACAGGATATTGGTTGGGTTGCTTATTATTGATCTTACTTTGGTTTCATTCTTTCCATCATTACTAATCCGTATTATTCTCTTCGTTGGTTGTACGCGACGTCTGGCGTACGCTGTACCGTACGACAGCGTAGGCTTTTATACCTGCTCTGTTGCCCCTTTTGGAGTTTCCGGGGATTTGAGTTTAGTCGTATCGTATTATACTCGGGCTGGTATTACCCGAGTATAAAATTACAAGCTACAATACGATTCTCCGCAGAAAAGATAAGTTGAATTTAGTTAAACCCCTGTTCCCTTCCCTATTATCAATGTTTATCTCGGTATAAAGTATGTTTACTTACTCTGTACGGACCACGATCAAGGGAGCTCTTCCCAGTGCTGGGATCTTCTCTCTTTTTTGAATGCTTAAGTGACGGTGAGCGGGGAAGAGGGAATGGAAGCACTACAGTACTCATAATGAGAGGAAATTGATGGCAATTCAGTCATGATTGTTCGCAGGAGAAGGGAGTGAGTTTGATTATTATTGATGTGACCATGTTCGTTCCTTGATTGCTCAGGGGTTGGGCCTTCCTTACTCCTATTTCTGGGCGAATTGACAAGGAGTTGAGCGCTTCTCAACTTCGAAGGAAAGTCGAAACGCGCTTCGCCGGCTCGACCAAAGATAGATGGCTTGAAAAAAACTTTCTTTTTCTCAGCTTTCTCCTCGTTCTTCTTCTTTTTTGCCTCTTGGCGTTTCATTGCAGCAATATTAGTTGTTTTCTTATGCAGATCGACCCTGTATCATAATCTATATGAAGAGAATCAGATGATCAGCACGCATATCACCAAAACCTCAACTTCCAGCATCCTCCAAAACGAAAAAAAGAAAATAACACTAATCTTTTGGGGAAATGAAGGCGGCTCAAAAAAAAAAAAAAAAAAAAAAAAAAAGGAAAAAAGAAGAAGAAAAACTGGGCACTTCGATTCAAAGAGCCTTCATGAGTCAAGGACACTGAAAAGCCCGTTCAATAGCGCATTCAACGTGTCATAAAATGCAACTCCAGAGAGGGCTCAAGAAAGAATCACACGTGGAAAATGAATAATAATTTGTCAAGAAAAGAAGAAGAAAACGGTGGCTTTTCCATGCTTTCTCACCTCACCTCACATGAATCCCTGATCGCCTGGCCAAGTGGTCATTCCACCACGATGGGAAAAAAAAAAATGAAAATGAAAAATGGCAGTGGAAAGCATTTCTGACTGGAATTTGGAATTGGTTTGTTCGCGTAATATTTCCGTATCCAGGTCAGAAAGAAACAAAATTCTTCTCCCCTGGGATAGCTTTGCCACATTCTTCTCATATGTAGTATTTTCAGTCTCAGGAGTTAACGACCAAGTTCGGTCATGGTTGAAAATAGCTTCTTGTTCTTGCAGCAAAAATAATGCTATGGTGCTGGTGTTGTGACCGGCGGCGGGCACCATGCCTAACAAGCTTCTCTAGCTTGATCTCAAAATCAAAATAGGAAAAGAATAGAGGACAACGGACGATGGTGCGTGTTTCCCCTCCTCCCTCCCCTTGACCTTGACCTGGTGGGCGGTGGCCAGGAGAAATGGGCGACGGAACTTGGGCCCGCCCTTCTGATTCGAACGCTAACTGCGCTCTGTTTAATGATTTCAGACGCTAGAAGCTTATGGACGAAATTGGCCCTTGCCTCGACATGGGGCAAAATACGCCGGCGTCTTTCTCGTATTTTCCCTCACAAGTACCTATTTTGGATTTTTTTTAGCTTTTCGTTTTATCATTTTCTCCTTCCTCTTTTCTACCGATTTGCTTTTTTTGCATTTATTTATTTTGCCGATATCGCTTGGGGCGCCCATTCGGTAAAATGCCAGAGTTACAACAAGAGGCACTGCTGCTGCATGTCACCCCACTCATACGGGGGGTGGAAATGAAGAGCAGAAGTGCCGACATGCTCCGCAGTGACCCATGATTTGTTTGGAGAGGCTCACAAGGGCTGGAAGAATTGTGTTACCAACCACTGAGCATGATTCCATTCCATGGAGCAATCGTGGGACCATGTTGACAGGCGGAAGTGTCAAGCCTCAATTCTGGAAAGGACTTGGAAGGAAAGTCTTGGGGAACGACAAGGGAATCGGGCAAAAAGCGAACAAAACTGACCCCCTTGTTCTGTGCAAACCATACACGTTCAACTCCCAGCTTTTCTGATAAAGTTCACGGCGGTGTCTGTTTGGCAGGAGTAGCGGAAGTTTCTTGCTGCAGTCCATCTGAAGGTGAACCCATCTTCTCGGGATCTCGGCGAATGCTGACACTTCTGGCGGCCTAGTTGCTTTTTCCCCCTCCTTGTCAAATCATACCAAGCCGCCAGCTCAGCAATCCCCGTCGCTTTGGCCCCCTTCTCGTTATCAGCAAATGGCAACCACCAGGTGAGGTGTCCTGTTCAGCGGCCCTACCAACACCCGCTGCCTCCTCTCCTGCAGTCTGCCCCCACGTCGCCAAGGGTCCCATCGTCGTGATGTTTTTGTAGCACCCTGTCGGAATTTGTTGTTCTTGAGCTCTCCGGCCGCCGTCCGTCAATTTGTTTAATTGATATTCATCGGAAATGCTCAAGGGTGACTGTCAAAGGCGCCTCATACCATTATTGCCCAAGAGCTGACGGTTGACCGATTCTCTCGCATCGGTGTGGGAATCCCGGGTCTCGTCTCGGGTTTCGTTCCCCTGCCCCCACCCCCCGCATCCCCTCGATCGCCTGCTTTTTATTTTTGCCTAAAAAATGAAAATCGTATTCACGTGATAGACTTCAATCTCCCTTAGGGCCTAGTAGGCTAGAGGGTGAAAAGGCGACGGAGATGGGCAAGAGACCCGCATCATCTGTGCTGACAGTTTAAAAAGTGAGGCTCCGTCATCAAAGGCGCCGTGATTGGCTACGTTGCTTCATCATCTTTCTCCTCGCGTCTTGATGGACAAGCGGCCATGCTTCCCCGGAACTGCGGATGCAAACTTGCGAAGCAGTTCGTCCGCTCTGTTGACCAGAACAGCATATCCCTTCATGATTTTTATTCTTTATGCATGGGTGATGCTAAACTATCAGAGGCCTAGCAGGCAGCTTTACTATGCGTAGCCCTTCCCAGCATCTGGATCCAGGGTTTTTGACCTTCGGTTGCGAATTACATCATCTGCTGGCACATGACCAATGATGGGCATGCGAATCCCTCTGTTCTGTGTGATGGGTGCGGGCGAACCCCGTTTTCATGCTCCATCCTGCCAAGCATCATCCTCGCGTCCCCTTCCCCTAGACTTGCATGGACGGTGGGTTTCGTTGAAGCTGGCCGCTAGTGTCATGCAGGTTGACCTTTGGGGGGAGCTACACGAAAGCAACGGAGTACCATACCGGCTGTTGTCCGCCATACTTTGCCGTATTCGGCTATATCATGCTTCAACATTTCATCCAGCGCGCTCAGTAATCACCCCGGTAATTTTTATAATGCATAAGTTCCAAAGGTTTCTCCTTTTGAGCGTGGGAAATACTGCCACCCTTAGAAGTCCGAGTTCCGAAGTCCGCGGCATCTGCGCTTCGACAGCCAGGGTTGTTGGAAAAACGGAATAGAATGCGAAAGACAAATATGGGCCTGAATCTCTGCTTCTGAGGTGCGTAAAATCAACAACAAGCATCCTGCGAGTGTCTGGGTTCTTGCAGGTCGAAGGCTCCAGGCGAAGTTGGTATCCCAAGTGTTTAAGATACTTCCCACAATCCCTCCACAACATTACATCTCATGATGCCAACAACCATCCCTTTTCATTATTATTATAGGTAAGATTTATGTCTCTCCTCGACTTGTTGAAATGTGAAACAATGCAAGTCGCTGTATTGAGGGTTCCGCATGCATGGACAGCCCCTCCTTGTGCGAGTTTGGTGAGGAGAGGCCGAGCTTCCACGTTCCCCAGAATGATCTCCAAGTCCAATACTCGTAGTTGACGCCGCCTCTTGGACTACTGAAAATATCTCGATTGAAAGAATCACGATCCAGGCCTCTTTTTCCAACGTTAGCCAGTAAAACGTGCCCTCGCCAGAAGTAGGACCAAAAAATGTCCTCTACTTTGATCGGCCCTAAAATGTTTTGCCCTTTTTCCCACAAGCGCTGGCGTCACACGACTTGCCGAAGGGCATCAGATCTGTGCTCTGTACGGAGTAGTCAAGAAACAAACAAAGTTTGGGCACTAAAACGCGGGCACCATCCCGGGTCTCGTTGTTAGTTGATTCCACGCAGGTTCTTTCAACTTCTCTGTCCAGGCGCCCTGGGCTAGCTGCTCGGTATCCTTTCAGGCTTCGTCGGCGAGCTAAACACGGCTAAGGCTAAGCTCATGTCCCTAAAATTTTCGGCATGTTCCGAAACTAGACGCGGGAGCCGTGCTTCTTGTCCTTAGAGTCGTTCTTTCAGACGAGACGTGCAGGATGGTGGCTGGCCGTAGCGCTCGTTCTATAATATAAGGGGTGGTGGAACAAGTATCCCAGCAGTGAACAGAAGTTCAAGCACGACGACATGCAGTACATGGATATATCTAATCTGTAGAGTCCCTGGCTATATAGAAAGGGCTCAGACAAGGATATGCTGAACATCATGCGGCTTTGCCCTCCAGCCAACTTCTGGTATGGTATGTGTATGGAGTAGCTTTGGTTCAAGAGGCTGAACGAGCCCTAGATCGATATCTCTGCACACCTAAAGTGCTTGTACAGTACAATGTACCTGGCAGTGCTGGCATTCAAAAGCTATTAAACGGGCAACACACTGGATAATGAACATATTTCAGGCTCTATGTCGGCTGTAAGAAGAAGATTGAACCGGATTTTGCTCTGCACACACAGGCATAGATACCAACCAGTACGGGGTAGGTACATGCGCAGGATATACCTAGTTATACTTGCACGCAACCTGGTATCTATCCTATCTTCATACACACCTCTTCCATATGCACCGCCTGCTGCATCTGTACGTTCCTTGAATTCAATGAATTATGGTATTATGGAACGGCGCATTTCATTGATTGCATCTGAACTTTCTGCTGGAAACAAGGAAATGGTGGCAAAAATGAGAATTGAATATGGGAAACCTTGGTTCCAGGGAAAGCCACAACACAAACTTCTTTCTCAAAACATCACTTGTAACAATAAATACATAGCAAGTACTAAAATTGTTCTGCTTGAATATATTATCAATTTCTTTATTTTTATTTTTATTTTTATTTTTTATTTTTTTTGTAGTATTTTGTTTTCAGGGGGGTTGTTTTGGCCACTTTTCTGTTTGTGACACTTTGTGCAGCCATGCTTCTCCCGAGTCCATTCACACGAGCATCAGCACACCCGCGTGATTTCAACCCTTTCTCTACATATTGCATCGCATATGTCCCATGGGAATTGGGAGCGTGTGAAAAAGGGGGAGGGGAAGCATGAGGGCGGTAAGGGGGGAATAATAGCTCCGACGCTGTGTACCTCAACTGCTGGGTATATTATTTCGAGGATAAACAGGAGGAGGAAGAAAGAAACCGCTTGGTTGCGCGTCTTGGGATGGCTAGGTGTATATTCATGGATTATCTGAGCGGAGATTCAGTTGATATCCATGGATATTCCAACAATATCCTACTCTCTTTCCGCGAAAGTGTTGACCTTTTGGATGGCATTCCCAGGCAGTATTCAGAACCTCCTCCTAACAGGGTGCAGGCGTTGGCGAATGGATTCGACGGATCGCCCGGAATGAATAATAATGGAGAACAATGAGAGGTCACATCAGAGGAATTGTCAGGTCGGTCAACCTCTGATTGGCATGCGTCATTTCTCTTCTTCTCTTAGGCCCCCCCCTTCACTTTTGCCGCTTGTGAGCAAATCGCAGACTGGTCAGAAATGATAGGAGGACGAAACGGGCGTGGAAGATGCAAGGAGCGTCTTTTTGGCTGCCGGTACTGGTTGATACCGAAATTACGAGACAACCTCGCTTGATGGTCACTAATCATGGTGTTGCAGCGTGGCTTGAGACGGCCTGGCCCTGGTGGGATTTTGGGCAGGCCTGTGGACCTTGTGGTTCCTGTGGACATTATCATTCATGCTTGCGAACGGTCAAGGGGCTGGTGTTCCTGAACCAGATGAACGAGGTTATTCTTCCACCAGGCGGATGCTTTTCTGGCTTTAGACAAGCCCAGAGTGTATTATTGAAAGGCGCCCTCGTGCGCAGCACACAATCGAACGGCTGCGAGCAATCCCTTCTACCCTTGGTTACATTTACTTCGCGATTCTTTTTTCTCCGTTCCGCCATAAGCCTGAACTGTCAAGGCCCCATGAATGGGAAGAAGATGAGCACTGGAAGCATGTCGTGTTGTTCTACTTTCCCTCTTGGCCCCCCTGACACCCCTGCTCGACCCTCTCCACCAGAACAAAATAGGCAAATGGAGGCGAACTTGTCGTTGGAGCAGCATTGATGCTCATCTACCAAGCCTGTACTCCGTACTTCCAAATACACGGCGGTCTGGTCTGACTGACGGTTACATGTACGCAGCGTACAGAGGTAGAAAGTCATACTTATTATTAAACGATAATAGTCAGGTCTCGAACAACCCAGCAGCAGACAACAACTCGAGCAGCTATGCATTCAGCCCTTGGAGGTTAGCCGGCACTGGAGGAACTCATGCGGCCCATGTCTTAAATCACCTGGCAGTCAGCTTAGGATGTGACGTCAGCCAGAATCCCATGGGTGTTAGAATCGTTCATCGCTCTGTGTTTTGCTCGAAGTTGGAAGCACTCCTCCGTTAACTATGGAATTGGGCAATGCATTGTGAGAAAGGAAAAGAAAGATTTTCAACATGGCAAAGGGCAAAGGTCAAAGTCTACAACTAATAATAGCCAACTCGTCCCATATCGTCCTTGCAGCGGATGTGACAGTGTAGCACATCAAGTCTATGCGGCACAGTTCCTTCGTGAATTTGGATTTGACCATTGAAACAAGACGGAGCAAGCGCTCTGATGAAATGATTCATCCGTATCATCAGAAACTCATACTCTCCAAGAGTAGCTTTCTTCATGCAGATGTTGACCCGTTAGAATGAGACCTTTGCCAGGCCCCAGCCAAGGGTGCTGTAAAGCCAACATAACTTGGCTTTTGGATTGGCCTTTGGATGGCTTGGATGTATGTAGGACCCTGTGCGTTGCAGCAACCCTCTATGCAGCCTTATCGATCCCTTTGACAGAGCAAAACCCCTACCAAACGGGTATGTTCCGCCGATCCTAACATCCTGTAAGGCGAGGAAAGGGTAGTCCCGACGATGGCTTCGATAACCATGCGCCGCGCATCTCTCGGTATTCTTTCGGAACACCCAGAACTCCAATGCTGCCAATATAAGGAGAAAAGTCGCGCGGAGTAGTGGTATACTCTTCCAGCGGGCTCTATATGTTTTCAAGGATGATGCCTTTCGTGCGCCTCCTGATATATTTATCCCAGTTCATAACCCCCTTGGCTTCCATCGCCATGCCATGTGCTGAACAACACAGAATAAATAAATCATCCACACCTCGGTACTGCCGGTCGGGCCCCCCACAGCCGGGCAGCCCCCAATACTATCTATCTCCCACAACGGCCCTAGAATCCCAGAAACACGAACCTCCCGGCACCGCACCCCAATTCCACTGCCTATAGCACCCATAATCCATTCTAGGATAAGAATAACGGGTGCTCCAACACTGTCAGATTGGGAGCTTATTACAACGGGACATGATTCCCCCGACGTGAAGGAGCGGTACATATACATGCCATAGTGCGTCTTTGCCATCACTGATTTTACTCGCACAGCTCAGGCCATGGAGAAGGGCGGGGAGTATTGGCGCCGAAATCAAGGGGTAGAGAGAATTGTGCGGTGCATGGTGAAATCTAGATCCTTTGGAAACAAAATACTTTTGGGAGGAGCTCATGTGTGATTTTTAGTGATATTTAATTAATATCGGCTATATTATTATTATTATTATATTCTTATTATTGAATTAGAAGTCCCTAAGCATCTTTTCCACTCATTTGGATTTGCATTCTTCACTGTCTGATCTGTATCTTTAGTTATATTTCACGCGCGATAATTTCAGGAGCTTTTTACTGCATATTTCTTTTCTTCTTCTCGTTTTACATAGCTTTTCTGCGGGTTTCTACGATTCACATTGTAATAGGTTCGTCATTTGGTGTTGCTACTATAATGAGTCGATGTCTATATCTATATCTATATATATATTTATAACTACGCACGGAACCATGTCGATGTGTTTAAAAAAAAAAAAAAAAAAGACCCTTATACATTATTTACTGTCATCTAGGTATATAAAAAGAGGGAGTGCAACACCAACGCGATCTTTTGTTTTCAAATAGTAACTAGCTCTGGGAGGCTCAAACCTTTTTGTAGAAGCGTCAAGGTATTGAAAGAACAACTGTAGTTCCCTAAAATCACCATGGGAAGGATTATATATCATTATCACAACAGAATGCAAATATTAAAACCAATAGCCATATAATTCAACGCAATTTCTTTGTCATTTCACTGTATTTGTATGTAAGGAAAAATAACTAAACAAATTAAATCCATAATTAAAACTACTTGGTAGGTGTCATGCCAGAAACACTGCCTCATATAAAACTATTACCGGCGCTGCCTTTTTTCGTCGTCAAGCAAACTAAGGTGACAAAAATCCGGGCATTCGAGAAAAATGATCAAGGGAAAATCGAAAGTGAAATCTAAGATCAGATTTTACCAGAGAAACGGGGACCCTAACCCTTCTCCATTCCCTCGAAAAGAGGGGAAAAAATACACAGAAAGATATCGAAATTGGGAATGCAGAAGCAATATAAGCAGAGAAAATGTGTTAAGGGCAAAAAAGAGTCAATCGAAAAAAACAGTTGTTGGTGTGGCGCGGTGGCCAAGTCAAACGCGAGGTCTATCAGAGCAAACGCCGTCCTGTTTCGAAAAATATAAAAGGTCTAGAAAACGTGAAGAAAAAGGTACCGATATCGATATCGGAGGGAGATGACCCCTATTCGTCTCGGGGACGGGGAAAATGAACAAGGTCTACGATACGATGGTCTGATGTGGCTGGTGATCAAGAGCCAAATTGCCTTACCAGCGGCGATTGTTGCCCAAGGGTGCAGCATTGGAAGCGGTGAAGCCGCCACGGCCGCGGCCACGACCACCCCATCGATTGCCACCACCACCGCCACCGCCGTAGCGGGCCATTTCGGCAAGGCGAGGATCGATCTGCTGTTTGGACTCAGTGAGGATAGAAACCAGATCACGAGCCTGCTTAGCATCTATTGTTCAACAGTTAGCATCAGTGTTTGACACTGGGGAAACAAGGAGGTTTAAGAGCGCAGGTAAAACGTACTGTCAGTGGTGAACAAGGTAATTGCAGTTCCCTTGGCACCGGCACGACCTGTCCGGCCGATTCTGTGAACATAATCTTCCGAGTTGTTCGGATAGTCATAGTTCAACACATGAGTAATATCGCGAACATCTTCACACACATTTAATGTTAGCAAAAAAAGCGCACAATTGAGAAAACAAATGGCCTGAGCCCTTTTCTCAGTCGTGTGGGACTTGATGCATCACTCTCTTCGATCTCTGTCGAAGATTCATATTTCAATTGTCCATGGGCTGGAAATGAATCGTGGTCCTGGAATAACCTTGGAAATGCAGCTTGAACAAGTTCAAAAGGAGAAGGACTCTGCCTCCCTACTTGAAGAGACTACAGAGCAGAGAGACATAATCAGAAGCACGGTATGCTACACTGCAAGTAAGTCCAAGGTTCCCTGGAGAGGAGAACCAACGATAGAACCGGAAAGCCGGGACGAACCATGTTTTACCAACATGTAATAGAGTAAAAGCATTGGGTCATGGTCACACGACATCAATACGGGTGAAGGAATTCAATAACAGTGTACTGGGGAGGGGAGGGGATGGGGAGAGCAAGGTCGCAGATTCATCATACCAATACCACGGGAAGCCACATCGGTGGCAACCATGATGGGACTTTTTCCAGTCTTGAATTCGTTCAAGACCCAATCGCGTTCATTTTGTTGTTTGTCACCGTGGATAGCTATTTATTTACATTGTTAGCAGATGTAGTTAAAACAATATGGGAGATCTATGGATAAAACTTACAAAGCGCAGGCCATCCATCCTGCCGGAGGAATCGAGTGATGTCGTCAGCAACGCGTTTGGTTCCAGTGAAAATGAGGACTTTGGCACTTTTATTCTCCTCCATAATACGGTCAAGATGCTTCGCCATTCGGTCACGTTTCTCGAATTCCGAAACAATTTCCACGATTTGAGTGATTCTGTGGTTAGCGGACAAATCCATAGAGCCAATATTGACCTGAATATAGTCGTGGAGGAAGTCCTGGGCAAGTTGCCGGACATCTTTGGGCCAAGTAGCAGACCACATGCAAGTTTGTCGGTCAGGACGAATCTGTGAAACAATCTTGCGGATCTGGGGTTCGAAACCCATGTCAAGCATACGATCTGCCTCATCGAGGACAAGGTAAGTAACACGTCGTAGGTTAGTTCTTCCCGCCTCCAACATGTCGATCAATCGACCTGGAGTGGCGATACAAACTTCGACACCACGAGTTAGGTCACGAATTTGAGGTCCCTTGGGGACACCACCGTAAACGCAAGTATTCCGAATACGAGATGATTTCCCAAATTTGGTAATCTCAGTTTGTATCTGAACTGCCAACTCACGAGTAGGCGCAAGAACAAGGACGATGGGGCCATCTCCTGGGGCGAGGAGAGGCTGGGCGTTAATGTGAACTATAGCAGGCAAACAGTACGTCAAAGTCTTTCCGGATCCAGTTTCGGCAATACCAACTACATCACGACCAGAGAGGGCCATGGGCCAGCCTTGAGACTGAATAGCCGTGGGCTTCGCAAAACCTTGGGCCTTAACCTCTGACATAACGTACTGGGGGAACCCAGCTTCGTCGAAAGTTTCCACTGGACGAGGGACATTTTTGCCTTGCACAGTCATTTCCTGCTCTTTGCGAAACGCGTCAACCTCCTGGGAGGATCGCTGTGTAACGCTAGGATGTTCTTTGTAGAACGATTTTTCGAATTTGGGCAGGGTCGACAGGTCTAGGATATCTGAAGTCAGCATTTTACGCGAAGTTAACAAGCATTGGTGCTGTTTTGACTTACCCCAATTTTGCGTCTTCAAGCCGGCACCAAGATTTGACATTCTGTCGCCCCCAGCACCACCGTAACCACTGCCGTGGCCGCCAGCACCTCCTCCATACGAGCCATAACCACCGCCGCTGGAGTGGCCATGGGAGTGGCCATTGCTGCCTCCATAGCCCCCACCTCCGTAGCCACCACCTCTGTAGCTTTGATTTCATGTTAGCTGCTGTAATGTTTTCTTTGTTGGAACGTGGGATATCAAAGGATCATGTCGCACAAGTGGCGAAATAAGGGTAAGATCAAAAGATCTCAGAATAACAAGATGGGATATGAAATGGTATTGTGTTTGCTTACCTAGAGTGCCCGCCACCACCACTGCCATAGTGGTCTCGAGAAGAACCGTAGCCTCCACCGTAAGACATGATTTTTGGTGAAGATATTAAAACTTTTTACTGGGGCAGAAGAGAAGAATTCGATCGAAATAAGATGGGAAAAACACAAGCGTTTGGTTGCTTTTCGGTTTTCGGGTCTATTTTGCAAAAGCGGCAAAAAAGATCTATGTGCAAGAGAATAGACGGAGAGTGAATAGCACAGCGATACGGATCGCTCTCGGGTAGATAGGAAGCGGGAAAAGAGAGAGAGAGTATGAGAGGATTAAACAAAAAGAGAGATGGAAGAAGTGAGGGAGAGAAGATCGAGAGATAAAATATGCGGCAAGAAAAAAAGCGGCGGAAAGAACTAGAGAAAAAAATCAAAACAGGAAGCGAGTGGCGCGTTGCCCCAAAGAAGCTTAACCTAAAAGTCTAGTCCGTATCAGGAAATGTGTGGCTTGGCTGCTGAGTCATCACGGATATTAAGAAACATACCTAGGTTTGTACGCTGCGTATATTGTATTGAATAATGGATTGGATTGTATAGCATACATGTACCAACCTACATACACATACATACATTGCCTCACCCATAGGCTAATAACACGTTCCTAGCCAACATTGCTTTCCACATTTTGTATCTTATTTTGCATCCTCCACTAGAGCTTGTCCGCCGTCAAACCCATGTCCCAGAATCCAATCTCAAGCTCCGTAGCTCGGATGAAAATCTTGATCAATTCCTCCATCCGACTAGGCGACACATCCCTCATTCGCTTTTCAAGGAGTTCTGTTTGGCCGACCGATATACGTTAGGTAGCTGGGATATAGGAAAATGAACCAAACAAAAAGAAGGGTAGATAGATAAGTCTTACCACAGCCAGTCTCCACTGCCTTCATGTAATCAGCTGCTACATAATTTTCAATCCATTTCCAATACTTGTTTCCTGTGCGTGCGCTGCTCTTATCGCCATGTAACCTTTTGGCGATAATTCCGTACCCAATTAGACATGGTGAGAGTGCAACTTGCAAAGCCAACCAGTCCTCCGATTGGCCTATGTCGAGGATATATCTGCTGTAGGCGACACAGGCTGTTATAGATTGTTAGTGACCAACGCATGTATGTACATATTTCCAAAGATTAGGCTACTATACCTAGGCTCTCCTTGTAACTTTCGATGTCCTGCTTTGTCAACCCAAACGACGCGCAGTAATCGAGATGCAGATTCATTTCGCGCTGGATGTGAAGCACTATTTCTGCGGACTAGATCATGACCATGTCGATTTTCAGAAGGGCCTTTGTTGGAATCAAAAAAAGCATATTGAGGATGCTGGGGTTTGGGGCGCGGGCCTGTTTATCTCACCATCTTTATCCCTTCAATATTATTATGTTTCGATGCTGCAAGCGCATTGCTCCGGGCAAAGTGAACCTGTTTTTCCGAACTGTCAGTACTTAACACAGCCAGGTAACTAACTACCCTTCAACATGGCACCATACCAAATAATGATAGTCCTGGATCAAATAGCCCTTGAACTTTTCCACGGGAAGCGTCCCTTTCCCCAAACCTTCCACAAACTCGTGTTCCGTATATGCCTTCCAAACAGGCTGGACATCAGGGCGATTCAGCACATATTCGAGGAATCGGCCGCTATTTCAACACCAGGTTAGTTTGTGGCTTCTCCCAACCAGAAGGAACACAAAATAAGATATGGCAAGGAGTAGCAAGATTGATACATACGGCGCAAACGGTACCGAGTACAGAGAGTGGAAGTGATTAATCGGCCCATTGCCTTTACCCATATCCACGCTCGTCCTGATGCCGGCCTCGACGTACCTGCACGCTGCGCGAACAGCTCGCACGACATCCATTTCCTGGGCCAAATTTGCCGCAATCGCAGAAGCAAGAGAGCAACCAGTTCCATGGGTATTCTTAGATGTGAGAAACTCATTCTCAAACAAAGTCACCTTTTCGCCATCGAATAAAACGTCAACCACTTTTGACGGTTGCTGGTCTGCTGTTACTCGCTCGTAACTAGCCGTTAATGGCAAATGACCACCCTTTAACAAAACATATTTAGGGCCAAGGGTATGGATCTGTTTTGCTATTTGGATGGCATCTTCAAGGTTCTCGGGATTTTTGGCATCCGCCCCTGAATCTTGGAGCAGTAGGATTGCTTCGGGTATGTTAGGGGTTAGAATTGTTGTCAATGGTAGAAGTTTCGTCCGGACGATATTCGCGGCTTCACCCGGGAGCAGCTTCGAGCCACTGGTAGAAACCATAACCTTAGAAGAAAATTATGTAAGAAATAATATGCATGGAGTTGAGGATTGAGATCAGAGAGTATAATATTATTACCGGATCAAGAACAACTGCGGGAATCTTGTGATGTCGCAGAGTTTCAGACACCATCTCCGCAGTTTCCGCAGATGCCAACATGCCTGGATGGAGGATATGATTAGAAGACGAACACAGCATAACTCAATTGGTTTAAAGAAAAGCTTTCAGAGCTCAATATTGGGGCTCAAAATTGGAAGACAACCAGGGCAGCGAATAAAAAAAGAGCATTTCCTCAGAAGTAGAAAATATAAAATAGAACAACTGCATTCATTCGGATATCTGCATCATCGGTACGCCAAGGGTAAAAAAGATAACTTACCCAACTTTACCACGTCTGCCCCAACATCCTCCAACCCAGCATTGATCTGCTTCCTTACAAACTCCACAGGGACGACATGGATATCCTGAACACCCAGTGTGTTCTGCGCCGTCAAAGCCGTAGTGGCTGTGAGTGTATAGCAGCCATGAGCGGTAAGTACCCGCTGGTCTGCCTCGAGGCCACTGGATCCATAACAGAGTCAGTCAATCAGTTCATGCTTGTATATGGTTGGTCCTTGTTTTTAACATTATGAAAGATAATTCATCATCTGATCTAAGGGCGGGGTTGGAAAACAGAAACAGGACAGAAAGTTAACTTACGCTCCGCCAGAGCTGTCCGAGCCCGCGATTACAAGTACCCGCTTTAGCGCCATCTTTCCCATAAAGATATGAGTAGTGTGTTTGGATGGTTGAGGAAAAGATCGTGGAAAGAAACCTCGTTATTTTGGGGTGGATAAACGATGGGTATTTGTCGGTTTGGGATCTCACCGGGAGGTTATTATTGCTTTGAATTCTCCACTAGTAGAACCAAAACTTTTGACGAAAGAGGGAATTGACACACAAATAAAGCCCTGCCCGCGAATATCTCCACTCCTGAATACATTTGTATTTCAGAATAACAGCAGGGCAATTGATAAAATAAATCATAAAAATTCCATTCTTCTACACCAAATAGACCCATCCATTCATTAAAAGACGAATAAACTATCCGGAACTGTTGCAAAAGGCATGCGACCAGATGCTCACTTATAGAAACGGGTAAGAGGAGGATGCCCGGCAAGGCATAAAAGAGAACTACCAAGAATACAATACCTTCATCGCAAAGCAAACCCAAAAAGAACCTCCATGTCAACCCACTGTCGTCCACATTTCTTCAAATACGCATCTACAACCCCCTTTAATGTCTCAAACCGCGGCCGATTCCACTCGACCATCGCCATAATCTTTTCCCGCTTCTCGGCATTAGTTTCCTTCTCCGCAATCTCCTTTGCCTTGTCTACATCCCACAGTCGGGCAAAGTATAGCAGCTGATTATACAGTTGTTTATCTGTATATTCGAACCCCATGCGGCCGAGGCAGCTTTCAGCACGGCCACGGGGCCCCAGACATCGACGGCCGTACACACTCATCTGGCGGGTGCGGTTGCCGCAAGAGGAATCGTCACAGACGAGCCAGCCTTCGTAGTACTTCGATGTTTGAGCGCGTATCTGGCTTTCAAGCTGTGCTGCTATAGATATAACAGTAAATGGTTTCCCGCAGCCTGAGTTGGGACATATGAGTCCATTGGCAGTGCACATCTCGGTTGACACGCAAAGACCTTCGAAACTTGTCCGTTCGTGACAGAATCGACAGCGAAGTGTCAATCTAGCAGCGTCTTTGAAGCGGATGGAATCTGGAATTTGCGATTCGAGAGGGAATATTTCCATGTTTTGTTGATCGCGGGTGCTGGAAGTATTAATTTGGTACTTTTTAACATCTAAGCCTAGGCACTCGGCGAGCCGGACTGCGTCCGTGCCGGGTAAAGGGGCGCAGAGACGTTCTACTGGTGGGAAGATCTGTTTCAAGAGATAATATTCAACGTCGGGTTTGAGGCCGGACTCCGGTTTCATCACATCCTGCAGAGTGTATGATCGCTTAGCAGGTGGTAAGGAAGACGTGTCGGAATCTCCTGTGGTTACAATGTAGGCAATAACATCATTTGGTCGAACGGTTTTCCCTCGGGCTAGTTCCCGCAAGGCCACCTGCGCTGGGGGCATGGTCTCCTTGTTGGGATACTCATCGGGGCGCTTTGACAGTTTCTGCCACATGATGTTAGTCCACGGACCTCGTTTTCTACAACATTGCGAGGCATGACATACCGTGTATATAACATATTTCTGCACAGGGATCGTGTATTCCTTCATCTTTTCTGTGATTTCGCGGAGGTAGTCGTGCACCTTTGTAAGAACCATGTCGGGATCTTCACCGGACAGAATCTCATTCAGGAGTTTCGAAGAGACCTCTTTAGATAAGGCGCAGTACTCTCGTCTCTTCATGTCCAAGCCTTTGACCTCAAGTTGGTCGACATACTTGCCATCGATCTCAGTCATGGTCATGGCCGCATACTTCTTCTTCGCGTGAAGAAGGAGGCGACGGAAGACACTATCAATGTCAATTTCGAGCAATTGATACCGTTCATTAACCAAACGTTTAAATGTATTGCCAACTTTCAGTGCGTCTTCCATATTGTCGGTATTAGTGTTGATCATTACTGAGTCAGTGTCGCCATAAATAACTTGCAGCTGGTTGTTCTCCGCAAGCTCTTTTGTACTTCGAAGAATTTCGCGGCCTTTGGAGGTCGTAAGCATGGCAAGTGGTCGAGCGTAGAATCGAGACTGCGTGTAGCCTAGACATCCATACATAGAGTTGGCAGTGAGCTTCAGCGCCATTTGCTTGGTGTCCCAAAGAGCAAGGTCCTCAGGGCTTGCACGTTTGTCTTTCATAAGTTTCTTCACTTCACGTCGACGGTTGACAAGGGTAGCAATGAGGCGCGGGAGAATTCCCGGGCTTTGGTTGCTAGGAACTTTAGGGACCTTTTCCTCATTCTCATTTTCGACCTACAACAAGTACCTCTTAGCAATCGAGTGATTGATCAAGACAGTCAAGAGCTACTTACGACAGCTGCCCGGTCCACAGTTGTAAAACAGATATTAAACTCCTGGATAATGCTGGGGTACAAGCTGTTGAAATCCATGACAAGGATGTACTTGTCGTATAGGCCTTTCTCGGGTGGAAACACCAGACCACCCTTATATTTGTCCTTCTTTTTCTTGTCCGCTCCATCTTCGTCTTCCTCATTCGCTTGTGACATTTGTTGCTGTTTACCGCCATACTTGTCAGGGCAGATGTACTTGTTTCGATAGAACTCATGTAACAAGATATACTCATTCCGTTCCGCCCTCGTACCGCTGAGAGTCCTCGCCCACGAATTTCCTGCCAAATTCGTAAGTACTTTAGTCAGCGGAAGCATTTGTAGCTTGAGAACAAGAGCGGCAATAAAATAAGTATCGGCTTCGCAATGACTGATGTAGTTCATTAGTCCCTCTTTTGAGGTTGCCCAAGATTTTAGCGCTGCTTCATTATCAATGTCTCGACGGAGATTACCATCTCCTAGATATAATTGACACATCTCTGTTAGGCTCCACGATTGACATTTCAACATTAAAGACTATGAAGCGGTTAGCTGAAAAATGGATTTTTGAAGAGAAATACAGGTAAAATTACCTTCCCCATGTCATTTGCAATATCACAAAGCAGTCTTCCAGCTACAAGCTTCCTTTCCGCAAAGAAGCTGGAGCCTCGCGATAAATTTTTCGGCCATTCACTTCTCTTCATCCTCCCAATGCGGTGCCAGCCGGGTGTCTTTTTCTCAGATAGCCTATTAAGGAGAATATTAAAGTCTACCTCTTGGAGTTGATGGCCCATTAGGACATCCGGGTCCATCTTCTCAAACAGAGCCATGAACTTGCTGAGAAGAAATTGTTCGCTCTTCTCCATCATGAATGTGCCACGGCGTTTTCGAGTTTCGGCTTCGAATCCAATCGGATATGTAGGTCCAGAGGGTCGCATCACTGTAAAGGTTTTGCAGGGCAACTTTTCCGGGGGTGTAGTATCAGTAAGTGATACATTCTCATAAACGCGAGCGCTTGCGACCACTATCTCTTGTTTGTTATCCTTCACGTTCAACTGTGTTCGGAATGCCAGACTCATCAGCGTCAGTCGTGGGATTTCCAAGCTGTCAGAGTTTGGAACAACCGTGATAAGTTTGGGTTCCGAGACCTGGCACTCCAGCTTGCACCATGACGCCCCATTCACAGCAGTGAAGTCGGCATCTTCAAACTTAAGCCAACAAGGGCCCATGATATTCTTCCAGAGCACAAACTGCTCGAAGAGTGCAGTGTTAATTCCGAAAACTCGAGAGAAAGTCTCACCCTTAACATCGATTGGCAAAGCGGGCTTGTCATAAGAATACATGAGTTTGAGATATTCTCCTTCCTTGGGAACGTCTGGGAGCTCGAATGCATATTTCCTTGTCACTTCTTTAATCTTGTGCGTGCCGACTTTCGTTCGTGATAAAAGTGCATCAACTTCCTTGTAGACGTCTTCCATGTCGATTTCCTCTTCCGTTTCATGGCCATGGCGTACCCGGTATTTCCTGGGAAGAAAGTAGAGTTTCCGCAAGATGTTGTCGACTTTAGCAAAGGCGCTCACATAGTCCCCAGTATCCTTGTTTTTAACTTTGCCAAAAAGACACAGGCTGCCGTTGATTTCAACATAATCTAACCAGAAGAATAGGAGACTTCCGTCTTCCTCAACAGCGCTCGGAGCGGCAAGTTTACCAAATGTTTTAAAGTCAGCTGTGGCGGGGCTGCTCAGAACGTTTAATTTACTTGTGACATCGTTCCATGACGAAGGATCGATGCCATCTGGATTGGCTCGAATAGGAGACGAAGTCGCAGGAGAAGGATATTTCGGCTCCTTGACTTTTGGCGTTGGCCGCTTTCCCGTCATATTAATTCTGGCTCCATTTATATCATGGTGCGCGGTCGTTTGTGTGACCACCATTAATTCATCTTCCTCCTCTTCTTCTACTTTGATATTTTTTGGGATTTTTCGCTCAACGGCCTTTGTGACGGGTGAAGATGGTGCCGGATCACTCATGAAAACATCGTCATCATCCCCCGCATCTAGCCATGTTGTATCATTGTCTGGATCCAATTCTACCTTGGAGGCAACTAGTGGGCTCGATATGTTGTTTTCTTTCCGGTCTTTTGCGGCTTCGGAGGTTGTATTCTGAGAAAGAGGTGGTGATATGATCCTAACTTTCCGCCGCGTCTCAGATTTCACTGCCTTCTTCGGAAGAACACGAGAAACAGGGTTGGAGTCGACTTCTTCAAGGAGGTCTGCCAAAAATGCCTCATCTTCAGCGGTAGCAACAGGCTAAAGCAAATAGTTAGTCAATTTAATTGGTGATGAAGGATTTTCCGTTGATATACCTTTGGCTTTGAAGGAGCTTTGGCCGCGGGCCCAGTGTTGAAGTATTTGCTAATACCATTGTTAATCTTTTCCTTCCTCTGTTGATCCTCCTCGCGTTTTCTTTTGGCCGCTTTGCCTCTCAATGGCAGCTCATCGCCGTCACTATCACTATAGTATTGTTTCGAGTCGTTCCACTCTTCACGCCCATCATCCGCATATCCCTCGCCAGTATCGTCAATCACGAAATCGTCTTGGTCCAGCCGCTTCCGCACAAGTTTTTTGTATCCTTCCTCATCAATTTCATCGTAAATATCCCCTTCGTCTTCGACTTCGTAAGTGGTGAGTCGCTTCTTTCCAGCGGCTCTGAGTGCCCGTAATTCGGCGAGCTTTGCTCGAGCTGCAGCCATTGAGGGATAGAGGTTTTCAATGATATTGTAAAAAATGGTGAACAAAAAGGCCTAAGAAGAAAAAATCATATAAAACACAATATGACTATGCTGGCAGTATCATATCATCATAGGTTTGTTTTAGTTTCGAAGTTGGCAGGAGGAAGACACGCCTCGGTGCGCGCGACATTTTTACGCGTTTCATTCACGCTAGTGCGCGCTTTAACTCCGGGAGCAAGGAATGGATTTGCCCACCATCAACGCACCACCGCAATATTTCAATGATCAGGCATATTTTCAACAATTACACGACGTTCAGAATATCAGGCCTTGAGAGAATTTCTCAGCAATTACATTTGTTGGGCTGGAACGGACGACCAAAACCCAAAGCTCCGCAATTGCGAAATACTTCGAAAGCATACGAGACAAAATAGTAGTAAGTACAATACAAGTTCGGGTTGTTTCAAGATACTTGGATTCCTAATTATTTTTAAAAATTGCGAGATTTAATAAAACTGAAAACCTGTATATGTCCCATAGCCCGCTAAAAAGATACCTCAGTAAAAAGAAACAGCCCATTGAAAAAGGAACATGCTGATCATCAAGTAAAATTTTATTTCTCCATTTTGTGTATTTAGTTCATTTGCTTGATAAGAGCATTGATGTTCTCCTCACGGTTACCAACATCACCACCTTCAATGTAGTGCTTGAACTTGCGGGTTCTGAAGCCACCAGTGGGGTTGGAGAGCTTGAATGGCCACAGGAAGTTGGAGGCCTGCTTGAAGTTGGGGCCAACAGTGTAGATCTCGTGGATCAGATCTTCCATACAGACAATGCCGTACTTGCCGAGGTTCTCTTCAATGATCTGGTTGTCGCTGAGGGCAATACGCTGCTTGTTGATCTTTCCATAGCCGCGCTTGTAGATGAGCTCGCGCACGCTCTTCAGGTTAGGATAACCATAGGCGATGTAAGGGTTGACAATGGTAAGCATCTCCTGGGTGGCCTTGGTGAGACGGACGAAGACACCATTGTTGATCTGAAGGAGACGGAGAAGCTGCAAAATCTTGCGAGGCTTGGGGGCGATTTTGTTGATACTGTGTCACAAAAGTTAACTTGCGTTTCCATGGTAAGTAGTCGTGTCGTTGATATGGAGATCTTACCCCTTAATACGGACAACGAAGACGAGTTTGTGTTCGGCGGGGACCTCGAAGTTGCCCTGCTGCTTGGCCAAGCGGGCAAGGCGGATCTTCTCGCGCTCAGCATCGCGGTACTCCTTGACGTACGACTCGGCACGCTTGAAAATAACAGCACGCTTCTCCTTGTTGGCCTATTGCACAAATCACGAGTTAGCAAGAGAAGTTTGACTTCGTGATTCTAACAAATGTAGACAATTGAGGAGACGGTTTCAGCCCCGAAAGATGGTTAACAAAGCGACAACATCGACCCGTAGGTCTAGTCGCGAAGATTGGTATTTGTCATCATAAAAGTCCCGTTCCCCTCCCTCCACACAAAAAAAAAAAAAAAAAAATAATAATAATAATAATAATAATCAAAATCAAAATCAAAAGTAAAATTAAAATCAAGGAAAGTTGATTTGAATCTAGGTTCAAGAAACATACCTTCTTCCGCTTGATGAGCTCAGCAGTGGTCGCGACTCTAGCTTGTTCCTGGCTCTTGCGCTTCTTCAGAAGCGTCTCAGGCACGAGGACCTGGTCCTGGGTTGGTACAGAGCTGTAAATCCGAATATGATAGGTTCAAGGTCAGTATAGTCTGTCCAACGACGCAAAGTACATAATGAACCTTGTCGAGTGTAAGAACTGCAGCTTATAGCGCCGCATTCTCTGACTGAAGCGGATGTTATGGTAGAAGGAAAACTCGACGGAATGCATTTAATCAATGAGATATAGAGCTGCGGGTTCTCATGTGCTGACAACTACTAACGCCAGTGTCCATCACACTACACTATGCAGCATGAAGGCATGGTGCTTTCGTAAATAGGCCCCGAGTCTGAAAATTTCTCATCTGACAAAACCCTAAACCAATGGTTCAGGAAAACAATGCTAATTCAGCGTGCTTCCCACAATGGCTTATCCAAATAGGATATACTTTGCGGTTGAGCAGTTTGGACCAGCAATTCTTTTCAGGGAGAAGGGAGAGCCTTCAACCCCAATACCCCGACACAAATTCCGTTTCTCTCACTTGGAATATCCCAGTATCACCCGGTCAATTGAAGATGGAAGAGAAAAGGAAGGGTGCCAGGATTTGATCGAGCTGGCGCTGAGCATCACCATGCAAGGCATATTTGACGAACAGCATCTCCAGCGAGAAGGACGAACTATATCTGGGCCTGTACACTCATACGAATATCAGCGGAAGAGAAATGAGAGGGAAGCATACGTAGCCATGTCGAATGATGGACGTTTGTCGTCTGTTGGCGATTGGAATTGTCGTACCGTTGGAGTCTGTCGAGGTTCAAGAAGCAACAAGAACAAAAATGCCGAAGAGAATGAATTTGTGTGGATGTTATAACAACGCTAGCCTTTATTAAATTAGCCTTTTTTCGGCGTCACGTTACATTCTGATCGGGAAGGTTAGGGCTATTATGTCATCTATCAGCGGCCATCCCATCCACGCTTGCTGTGACAGGCCTGGCAAACGACATTGTCCTTGTATGTTCGTTCCAACACACACGCTGTTACATATCTTATGTATGCGGCCAATATCCCTCTTAAAAACGAACCATGTCTGCCCGTCGCGGCGTTGGCCTGGGAGCCTTCGTAAACCGCAACCAGTCAGCACAGTCATATGCCACTCATGGTGCCAACCTCCGCACCACTCACCTTACCTCTCTACAGACCCAGCTCTCCGTCTTCCAGTCCCTTCTGCATTCCTTTGCCCTCGAGCATGCCTCGACGATTAAATCGAATCCAACATTCCGCGCTGAGTTTGCGCGCATGTGTCATGCTATCGGAGTGGACCCGTTAGCTGCTAGTAATGTAAAAGGGAAGGGGAGGAAGGGTCTTAGCCTACCTGGCTTGGGAGAAGGAGGTAGCTTCTGGACTCAGATCCTGGGTGGTGATGTGACCGATTTCTATTTTGAAGTTGCTGTGCGCGTTGTAGAGCTCTGTCGGGAGACGAGAGGGGAGAATGGGGGTCTTATTGGGGTTGAGGAATGTATGGCTAGAGTGGGCAGGGGTAAGGCGATTGGAGGTGGTCTAGAGGTTTCTGAGTGAGTTATATTTGAATTTACTTTCCCTTAACGCCATATTTACTCTTTCGTGTTCATTGCATAATTAGCGAGAGTTCATGATCGTGCCAATGATAGATATTTATTGTGCTGACTCAACGCCACAGAGACGACATCCTCCGTGCAGTCAAGTCCCTCGAACCCCTTGGGTCGGGATTCACAATCATCAAAGTTGGCAGCAAGCAATATATACGTTCAGTTCCCAAAGAACTCAACACGGACCAAGCTACCGTACTAGAAGCGATTCAGATCCTGGGCTTCGTTACTGTTTCGATGCTACAGCTTAATCTGAATTGGGAAAAGGCGAGGGCCCAAACAGTCATTGACGATCTCTTGGCTGATAGTTTGGTCTGGGTTGATTCTCAGTGTGCAGAGAAGGAATATTGGTCACCTCAAAATTTACTTGATGACGGTGATTGAATTAAGTAGTGTCATGCGAGCACGCCACTACTACTTTACAAACGCAGACGCCAAATGCTGGTTTAATACCGCTCTCTATAACTGTCGAAGGGAACCTCCCGGTCGACGTCAGAGTGTTTACTTGAGCGTGACTTCCTTTGGAGCGCCCATCTGCTGCAGAAGTCCATGACCCCGATCATGGCTCACCCTTCAGGCAATTTGTTGGATGTAAGGCAGGACCGACCGACCGCTACGATAACCCATGTGCCGCTCATTGAAGCGGCAAATGGAAATTAACCCGACGCCATCTAGCAGGAGAATTATGATGCTTATGAGGACGAATCGGTGCCTAGTTCAGCTGGGCCGCCGGTATTATGTTTCTGGTTAAGCATGTATTTAACTACCTCGAAACCAACACATATAAGGCACAATCTCCTCCTTCTCAGATAGAGTAAACATAAGTATTTATTTTAGTTAATGAAAGTGCGTCACGTAAGGATGTGGGAGAAGCATGCCACATTCTCAATTTAATCAAATAAACGTAATAGCGAGGACAGCCAGCTGCACTGGGCCAACAAGCGGCCCATACACTGAGCCACCTCACGAGCTAAGCCACCAAGTATGGCATGTAACCGATAGGAACTTTCCATGTGGAGCTAGAGATCAGCTGATTCGACAAACAATAATGAGCGAAACGTCTGTTAAAGACATATACCAAAATTGACCATGAAATTCCACTCTATTGTAATTTTCTGTTTCTTTTTTCTTTAAGCTACAGCGGCAAGCACCAGAGAACGAAATGTGAAAAGCAGCAGCCGCCGTTCGTATGACATGAGATAAAGTGGGAAAAGAGCTGCATCCACTACAAAATAAGAGTCCGGCATAAAAAAAACCATCGACGGCGTAAAGGGAGAGAATAATAAGAAGACAAATTGATGACTAACAAAATTAATGGAAATATTCATATTCAATAAATGGAGAAACAGAGTTTAAAGCAAAAAAAAAAAAAAAGTAAAAAAAAAAAAAAAACACCCCCCTTTATGCCTTAATCGCCCCCCCCAAAGCCCCGCCGCCGAATTGTTGTCCACCAGGTCTCCGTGGCAATCCACCACCACCTCCCCCACGTCCACCACCCCGCCCACCGCGACCACCTCCTCTTCCACCACGGCCACCATGTCCCGGATCGCGTTGGAACGCGTTAGCCATGCCTTGCGTCCGCTGCTCAAGTGTCTTCTCATTAGCCTCAAGAAGGGACATGGACTTATCAGCAAGCGTGACGATTTGGCTCTGGAGTCTAGATAGCTCAACGCCCTTGCGGAAGATGATGGCATCATTGACCTGGTCGAGGGCGGCGGCTAGTTCTTCATGCGAAATCATGCGGCTGACGATCGCAGCGATCTTTTTAGGAGACAGCTCGAACATGTCTGAGAGGGTGGAGATGGAGAGAGAGTCGTAGAAGGGAGCGTAGGTGAAGAGGTAAGTACGCAACCCCTCTTCCTGGATCTGCTCGCCGAGCATTACCTTGATCTTGTCCGGTTGCGCCATCAGGTCCCAGATCTTGATGGAATTGAGGGTTGCGGAGGCTTTTTTCCAGTCGCCGGCGGCGAGTGCTTTGGCGCTCATGATGACGCCGTCGCGAGTGTTTTCGGGGGGCCCATTGAAGACTTGTCGTTCGTTGTAGTCGAGCATGCGTCGGAAGGTCTTGGAGATAATGCGTCGCTTTAGCTCGGGGGATGAGGAAGTTTGTGCCATGAGGGGAACTTCGAGGAACATGCTTGAGGTGAGGTAGATGCACTCAAGAAGTTCCAGGTTAATGTGCATGTGGAAGGGAAGCTGGCGTTGGCGTTCGAGCTTCTCTTGCTCTGGAGATACGGACGAGTAGCGTTGCATGATGATGCCTTGAGCCAATAGTTCTTTTTGTCTGCCACTGCCACAAACTTCGGAAAGGATGTTTTGGGCTTCGTAGACTAGTCCTGCGCGGAACGCGCAGAGGCCAATCTGGACAAGTGTTCGGTTGAAGAGGATTTGGGTGCTGACATCGAAGTTGGAAATGTTTTCTGTGAGATGTGACATGAGCATCAAATCGCGAGCGCGGTGGTATTTATCGTGGAGTGCAAGGAAGTAAATCTGGCACAACATAGCTCTGGCACGGATAATACCATCGCTATGGGCGAAGAGGTAGTCACACAGAGTTTTAACAAGCGCGGGAACATCAGTGCTGTTGTTCTTGCGGGGAGTGATGTTGGAGTCAAGTTTCGCGGGGAGTGCTGCCCATGTGTTTTCTTCAAGGATATTGACAACTTGCGATGGTTTGAAGTAAACATGTTCCAGGCGTCTCATCAACACTCTGTTCACACTCTCTTGACGCGCTTCAGTCTTCTCGACCTTGTTGAGCACTTCAACATAGAGCAGCGCACGGACAATACTGTTATACAGCGATTGCTCATCGCTGAGCCTTTCAATATATTCCGCAGTATGAGGATCGATTTGCTGTAGCGATCGGGTGAGTTCATCATCCAACCGCTCAACGAAAGAAACAACGCTGCCGGGCACTTTGAGGGTTTCGCCAGGAGCAAGCTGAGGCTGTTTCTCATCATCTTCCCACTCCTCTGCACCTTCAGTGACGATGAATTCGGGGTGTTCTTCAAGCGTAGAAACCAAAGTCTCAAGTTCTTGTATGGCCTGCTTCCATTGCTCTGTACTCATGTAATTCGCGGTCGAGGTGGAGGTAAGATCGAATCGGGTGGAGATGAGAGTTAGCAGAACGCGGATAGACTGATATGGCGTCGTGGCAACCTCTAGCAGCTTTTCCATAGTCTTGATCTGCTCGAGACGGTCGGTGTTCTTCTTTCCTCTAGACTCGACGATAAGCCGCAGGTGCTTGAGAATGCTCTCGGGAGTGTATTGGAGCGTCCTTCCGCCGCGGCCAACGATCGCGAAGCCCTCATCGTCATCGCCCAACAGCTCCTCCGGGCGAAGAGTTCGAACTTTGTCCTTCTTCTTCTCGACAACTTCCTCCTCCTCTTCCTCAATCATATATTCCTTCTTGTTCTCACGATATTTATCGATCTCCGCTGCATATTCTTTGTTATTTTTCTTGATACGCTGCTTAACAGCATTGAACCCCTTAGCATTGCTTGCGTTCATTTTCTTTGCCGACGACTTCTGCGCCACGATAGTCTCGTTCATAAAATCTTCAAGATCAGCGATAGCTTTGATATAGATCTTAGGCGTTGGGCCCGACTGGGCAATCTTCACAATTTGCCGATTAAGCTTATCGAACTCTGTTCACGCAATAGGTAGCCAAGTCAGCCTTTCCGTCTTCTCATTTTATCATCCCCCCTTTCTAGCTGAAGAAACCAGAAGGGAAAATCATGAAGAAAGAAAATTTTTTAAAAAGGAGAGCATACCCGTCGAAATAACCGCCCAATCATTAATCTTCTCAGCATTCTCAATCAACCGCATAGTCTGCTCGAGCTCCTCTAACCTCTTATCCTTCGCACTCTTTACAATCGTAACCCGCTCCTCATCATCACTATCATCACTGTCATCATCAGCACCGGCATCGTGCTTGAAGAACTTCGAAGCACCACCTTCTCCGCCGTCATCAGAGTCGCTGCTACTCTCCTCCGAGGAGGACTCCTCCTCGCTGGACTCCTCTTCGTCATCGGAAATGTCTTGGCTCTCATCGTGATCGCTATAGAGTTCCTCCTCGTCCGAGGAGCTGCTATCACTATCGCTCCCGCCTCCGTGGAAAAATCGCGACATGGCTGGGAGTTTTGTTTTTTTGCCTCGTCTTTCAGGTGAGTTTGGACGCTTCGGTTTTTCGGGTTCGGTCCTGAAACACTTGGTACAGTATACTATTCGTAAACGAAGGTCGTGGACACACGGTGGTAAAAGAAAAAGAGCCGTTTACTTGCTCGCAGTCCTTGCTGTTTGGTTAGCTCTAACTGAGAAATTTGATGTTGTCTGGGTTGGAGGCGAGGTTGGAGTCCACGATAAATTTTAAGCGAGAACCACTAACCCGCATTCGGGCAAGTGTGACTCCCGGCTGTTCAAATTACTCAGGAGATATACTCTTTAATGCAACCAAAGGGTCAAATATAAATTCCAATGATTCGCATTTGGCAATAGCCATTATGGTCCAACTCACTGGGAGTAAAACTCCTTTCAGTAAAGATTGCAAAAAGTAATTATTTGGTCGTGTGAAACAGGTGCGGATTTCTCTCAGAAATTAAAATATCCAACAAGCTACAGGCAACAGCCATGATTATGAAGTAACATCTGCAGAAACACATCTGCAGGGGACTAAAATTCTGAGCCAAAATCACCAAATGTACAGGTTTGGCAATTGGAAAGAAAAGAAAAGAAAAAGTTGGAATTTGAAAAGGGGAGGGTGAAAGGTAAAAAAAATTGAAAGAAAAAGAGTAGATATGTGTATATATATATGCCCATTGACAAAAAGAAGAGAAAATAAAAACCCCAACACGCCAACGCTATGCCGAAGGAGAAAAGTAAAAAAGAAAAAGAAAGAAAAGAAAAGAAAGAAACGAAGGGAAAGAAGAGAGGAGCACAGTTAAACACACTAAGAAGAGAAGGAGCAAGAGGAAGTGGAAAAGCAGATATTGGCAAGTATAAAATTCAGGGAACATTACAACAACAAAAAGGAAGACAAAAGAATACTAAACAACACAAATAAAGAGGGGGTCAGGTTGCATTGAGAGTCTTGACTTTCCAAAATATTCACAAATGAAGGAAGAGGAAAGAGAAAAATAGAAAGACACAGGGGGCGAGAAGGTATGTTGAACATCAACATTCACGAATGCGTGGACCCCTATCCCGTCCCCAGCCCTAAAGTCCGCTCAAAAGGTTCCCCATCCGTATATAAAGGAAGAAAGGTTAGGAGAAGACGAAGAAGAGAAAACAAGAATAGCTAGAAGAACGGAGGGACAGATCCTTTTTGGGTGTTTCAAAGAGAAGAGAAAAGAAGAAAATATAAAATATAAAAGTGAAAAATGAAATGAATCAAAATTCCTCAATTCCCAATCCACGATATCATAACAATGAACCCGCTTTTTGTTCCCTAGCTCGTGTCGGCGTAAGAAATACTTTTCTTCTCTCATTCTCGCTTCCGTTTGAGCATCCATTTTTATTCCAGAGAGATTCGAGACGAAAGACCTCTGTTCTGCCCCAAGTGCGAGGCCCTATCCAATCGTATCCAAAGCTGTCGAAATTAGGGTGGGGGTAGAGGTGAGGGTGGGAGTGGGGTTGTTGCCGTTCATATCTTTTCAAAAGTAGACTAAGGTCAGGAATACTACCACACATCTAGACAACTGAAAAGGACACCTGAGTCAGGGGTGAGTTGAATATCGACAATGCCTCTGATCAACGCCATCTGTACTTGTTCCAGAAAAGATATGACTCGGAGAAAAATCCATTACCACATGAGCAAATCGGAGGCGATCGTCTCGTCATCCTATGAACATATATATACTGTATATATATAATTATAACCGCTCCCCAATTCGTCAATTCAATGCCACTGATTCTGACCCATGAAGTTATCGCCCATGGCACCGTCTTCAAGTGTCCGGATGAAATCCCTATTGTTGCGTCCATGGGTTCCAGCCCCGCTGGCTCCAGATCGACTACCCCTCCGGCGTCCAGCTGCGGCAGCAGAAGTGTCGCCATAACCGTCAGCGGGCGGGGGGTAATAAGCAGGGCTTGGCTGTAATCGAATTGGCGCATTCGGATCAAGATGGCTTGCGACCCGTTGGATCGACTGAGGTATCCCGCCTTGCTGTTGGTCCATGGTAGATGCCCGCTGCCGCCCAGCTCTAGTTGTAGCCTGAGCATATAGACTTTGGGAGGGCGCGAATTGCTGCTGGGGCATGTGGCTCGCTTGCTGTTGCATGACGGGCATTTGGTGACCGTATGCACCTTGTTGGGTAGGATATGGGGGTGGTGCACCTTGTTGATGAGGGCTGTACATGTTGTTATATACTGGGGGAGGTTGTCCGTGTGTAGGTGGAGTGTAATGATTATTCATTTGGAGAGCGTACGACTGTGCGGCGGACTGAGCTTGAGCTTGTGCTTGAGCAGCGCGTTGCTTACTGGCAGCCTCCGCTTGTTGTTGTTGCTGTACACCAGGTGCAATGGTCTTGTTCAATGCTGAAGACTTAAGGTTCATCGGTGGTACGAAAGGTTGGGTATATTTTTGTTGCGTGATGAAAGGGTGGAGTTTTGCCTGTTGCGGCGACCATCGTTCAAGAGGATTTATGTTCAAAAGTCCACGAACGAAATCAATAAACGCGACGCGATTATTCATTTCTCCAAAACACGAGCGAATAAGAATCAGCAAAGTTATTATTTATGGAATGAATGATGGGTTAACCGTACCTCTATCGATTTCCGCTTGCTTCATATTCTTTCTCGGCATTGAATAACTACGGATAATTTCCGGTAGTGTTGTCGCCTGGAAATACTTTTTGCTTGGCTGCTCCTTCGTGTTGTGTTCGCGAGAATACTGTTCCATGCTCTTAAGTCTGTACGTCCGACGGCCAAACTCATCTTGCGTTTTCTCAAAAAATTCGCCCGATTGTTTGCCCATTTCAAGCATCCAATTTGGAGGCATTCCTAGCATTTCTGTGATCCGTGATACCTGATTATATTCAGACGACCCAGGGAATAATGGAAGGCCCAGGAAAAGCTCAACGACAATACAACCCAAAGACCACATGTCAATAGCCGACGAATAACTAGAGCAAGTTAGGAAAGATCAGAGTTGTTTCAAGGGAACTGATACGTACGGTAGGCCTAAGAGAACCTCAGGCGAGCGGTAAAACCTAGACTGAATGTACGTGTACACAGTCTGTCTCTCATCACATGCTGATCCAAAGTCGATAATCTTTATTATTGGGCTCTCGAGACTGTGCGAGAAGGGGAAAATATGTCAGTGATACAGGGTAGGTAAGGCGTTGCGGGCTTGGATGTACGTACTTTTTCAGCAAAATATTTTCAGGTTTTAGATCACAGTGTATTAGGCGGGCTTTGTTCAATAGTGATAGGCCATTGAGTAGTTGTTGTGCAAACACACGCACAAGGGTGGTACTGAGGCCGCGGAATTGATTCTGCTTGATTAGCTCATACAAATTCACGCTCAGTAGCTCAAAAACTAAGCAAAGATGCTGTCGATGGATAAATGTATCCTTTAGGCGGAGCAAGTGATGATCATCGTTCTTGTCCAGTTTGCTATTGATCTGGACAGGGCATGATGTCAGCAATGTCCTTCAACGATATGATGAGAGTGTTAGACATACCAGATCCAAAACTGACACCTCCATCATACTTTGATTGAAGTAAGCCGTTCTATTTTTGACAACTTTAACCGCCACAACCTCTTGAGTTTTTAGGTTTTGACATTTCACAACTTGGCCGAATGTCCCCTGACCTAGAACATCAAGGATAAGGTACCGATTCCTTGGAGGACGTCAGTGTGTGTTTGGAACTTATAATATCTATTATGCAATATATGGAGAAGAGGGGGGGGCAGATGGTGTCATACTTATGATTGGCTTCCTCACTTCCGAGAATATCGTTGACGTAGAGGATATAGTCACTGTCATCGTTATCATACCCATCGTTCTTGACGCCCTTACTTGGTTTTGTAAGCACACGGCGGGGATTCCTCGAGGACTCATATTTAAACGATGGATTGCATATTCGATAAGTTGACGGTAAATGAGTCGTCAGGGCTTGCAAGGGCTAATAAAAAGGATCAGTCATTCGAGGATCTTGGTTTTGGGCAGAGACTTTACAACTAAAGAAATGAACAAACATACGCTGATGAATCCCCCCTCGGGATTGGCTCGCCGAAATGCAGGTTGGGCGTTTATCCTTGGCTTCAACTCCTGTGTCGTCTTAATCTTCACAAACTTGGGTACGGGGCCCCTTTGATGTTGTTGCTGGTGCTGTAGGATGTTATGCTGCGGCGGCGGTTGGCCTCTAGGTTTCATATCCTGTCCAAAGGCGGAGCTGAGCTGAGTAGCCGCAGAATGTGGATAGTACTGTTCTGGACTCATGTCCGCTGGCTGGAGCGTAGGCAAACGAGGTTGCGGACGAGAGTTGACACCGGTTGCTATTCTCAGAAGACCGTAAGCACGTACCCTAATTTAGCCAAGAAGAAATAAAAACAAGGATGTCAGAACAAGAAAGGCACCTACATGGCGGGGATTGGTAGTTCTGAGGGGGGGAGGAATATGTGTTGGCCCTTGTAGGTGACGGCCGCGACGACCCAGCCGGAGGGAAAGTGTAGGGGTTCTGAGAGGTATTGGGACTAGCTGTGTAAGGTTGAGCAGGAGGGACAACGCTCATAGGGGAATATCTACGCGCCGCGGTGGATTCTTCACTCGATAGAAACTGGGAGGAGCCACGTTGATGACTTGGCTTGGTAGCGTATTTTGCACGGTTGTAAGGATCTGCATCTTCCATGGTGATATCCGGGTCCGTGAACTCGCCAGCGAGAGGGGTTGGCGAGGAGGTCATGGATACCGTCTTCGACATCGAATTACCAGATGGCGCTTTGAGCGCTGTCCCTGGAGTCTGATACGGTTCGTATGTGTATCCTATAGGGGCCTGGTGCTGTTGCTGTTGCTGATACGGCTGTGATTGTGCTCCATTGCCAGCACTCGTGCCTGGGTACCTTTGTGTCAGCTGCGGTGGTTGGCCCCCAAGGCCATTGTTATTAAACTGGCCCTGACGACCAGAAGTGGCATCAGTATAGGCCTGCCACTGCGGATCCATGATGAAATACTCGCGGAGCTGGGTTCTATTTGGGTAATTTCACACCCCCAGAAGCGATACACGAGCGTCGAGTCAGTGTAGGCGCTGCTGGGATTGGCCGCGTGGAGCTCGAGATGGCTGTCTGGTGTCTTGTGTCATCGGACAGTCGAATCGAGCGCAGCGCAGCGCGGCAACGAGCGGATCAGCGGGCGGAGTTACAAGGAAGTACGTCCTGGGAAAGCAAAGGATAGAAGGCTGTTTGACGCAACAGCAAGAGAGCCGATGCTAGGTAGAAGATACGGCGCAACGGCTCATGTTCAGGTTGCAGGTTGGGTTGGGCGTTGGGCTGAACTGATAGTGGAGTCGCAATTGGTTCGTGATCACCACCAAATATCCATGCAGAAGCTCAATAACCCCCAACGTTTGAAGGAGAAGCAATCCCCTTTTTTTTGGTTCAAGGAAAGGTGGGGGGAGAAGATAATTGAATATCCCGTTAGCAAGCGGGAAGAAGGGGCAGCGGCAATATGTCGTTTGCAGGAGGCGCAGGCGACTGGGGGAGGGGAGAGGGGGAGAAGGGAGGGGAGTCAGAGAGCGCAGACTGCAGCTCAGCAACTCGATCAACAAGTTCTCCGATACAATCGACCACAGGCGCAGGGACAGGCGACGGTGGTTGACAGGGTGAGCGTAGGAGGAGAGATGAAATCGACGCAGCTAGAGGGTTGCGGGAGCTGGAGCGTGGAGAGGGATGGAGCAGCGAAGGAAGCCAAGCCAAGCGAGCGAGAACTGGAAGGATCACCAGGAATAATCAATAATAATAATAAATAATATTTAACTATAGAGGAGTAAAAATGCATGGTACGAACAACGTACAACGTACAACCTACAACACGTTATTTTTAATTAACTATTTACCAGCCCAAGAAAAGCTACAAAGGCAATGAAACTGTAGAGTATTTATGGTAAGGAATATCTTTGAATACACAAGGGCTAGGAACAATCCTCCTGTTTCCTTTTGTTTTGTTCATCCAGTCAGCGCTGGCTTCCTTCAAATGCACTCATTCTGCTCTGCACCGCATGCGGATAACATTATTATTTATTACGGTATTACCCAACGATGTTTCTGCCTGGAGAAAATAATTGACATAAGTCGATCACCCCGCAATGTGCTTAACCTACGAAGTTGCCCGAGCCGAAGCAGGAGGCTTTTTCTGCCCTCAATGGGTGGGTGGTTTGTACGATATAAAACTGGGGGGATTTTGACAATCCCGTCGCCTCAAAAACGCACAAAGACAGCGAAATAACAAGATATCCATTCTTTCTTGAGAGCTTTACTAGTATATTATTAGAAAGGCCATGCCTGCAGTTAGATCCACACAAGCACGTTATTTCGAAGGTTTAAGTGGGCATTCTTCCCTTCTTATGAGGGGGCAAAATGGCCAAGGGAGCTCTGCATCAGATTCATCGTGAAATGGAGGCAATTGCTGTAGACCGCTTTGAAGCTCGGAATACTCAATCAGAATCAAGGAAACAAAACAGCCATCGTCCGTGGGGTTGATTATTCCCACTGGCTGGCCTTTGGACGGTCTTCTGTGGGTAGAACTGGCTCCCGGGGACGACGCATGTCACTCAAGATGTGGACATAATTAATTCCCTGACGAAAACCAAATGGATGTTGTTTATTGTTGTATATCATTTTAATATTTTAATTCCCGTCATAATACTCTGTATTGGCTGCGGCAGAGTAAACAGGATCAAGAAATAGTCTCCACAGATCGATTTTGAACTGTGGAGCTGTTTGCCTCAATGAGCCTGCCTTACGTAATGACATTCTGTTTTTGGCGGAGGAGGAACCCTTCAATGAATCACTGACTGCCACTGACTGCTGCCTTCTGACCAACACGGCACTTGAGATAATAAATCTGTATGGACATACTAACATAATATCTGCTATTTTGGCCTGGAACAGCAGTGTGATAAATGAATTATTACATCTGTGAGTCATGTGCAGATATAGTGATTGCTGTGGCAACACTCTCTGAGTTAAGTGACTGTATTATAAGAAATTACTTTACGTGATTTAATACTATTTCAATAGAGTTTAGTAAACTATAAACATTCTCTCTTTATTATCTCTATTTTTTCTTCTTTTTCTTATAATTCTTTTATTGTAATCATGCTGCTGCTTACTCACTCATTTCTAATAAGTATATTATATTAAAATAATAAAAACATTAAAATGATAAAAATCTTGTAAATTTTTAATCTTTATTTTTATTAATTAATTAATAACTATTATAATATTAAATAAAAATGAAAATATTAAAGTGTATTCAATAAGTTATTACTATTTATTAAAAAAATTTAAAATTTAAAATATTATTTTCTTTATGAAAATTTAATATTCTCTATTAATATTTCTAAGTATATATTAATAAAAGAAATCTGAATACTGTGAAAATATCAGTTAATAAAAAATTAAATAAGAGTTAGAAAAATATAATTAAATAATAAATTAAGCTGTTAAATAAAAAAAATTACTCTTTCACAGCTGAATATATTTAAAATTTTATAAATTTAATTCTTAGATATTATTATACAGATTCTACTATCTCTCTCTTAAAAATTAATAAAATATAAATATACAGATTTATTAAATATTTATCTGAATATAAAAGAATATAAGAGAAGTTAATAAATTTAAAACAGTTATTAATTAAAGATATAACAGACTGTGTCTGATCAATTATATTATATAAACTATTTCACTACACTTTATAGATTTCTGCTGAAAGCTCTGATTCTCAGTCACTAATTCTTAACTGAAAAACTCACAGAATTTCTCTTCTTTCACTCTGAAGCTTTACTATATATATATATAAATATTTACTTTAATTACTGATTCTCATACTTTCTCATTTTTTCTTCTCTAATATTTTTCACTTTTATATTATAAAATCTATAAATATTATACTGATCTATTCAGTATAGATCTCTTATACTTGAAAAACATTCTTTATCTTCTTATTAAAAATGATTACTTATTAAGAAAATATGTAAATATGTATAAGAATAAGTACTCGCAGGCAATTATTCAGATGTTTGCAGCTTGGCATGATATGTACTATTAACTACTAGAAGTATTCACAGTAGAAAGATAAAATGTAGAGATTAAATGTATAATAGTATTTAAGCTAAGTTATAAATAGTATTCATGAACTTCAGTCTATATAGTTATATATAGTCAAGAGTCACTAACTCTATTAATTATATAAGAGATAGAGATAGAGATAAAGAATTTATAAGAAGTAAAATTTCTTAAATACTCTCTTCTCTCTAAGACTTTATCTGTGAAGTCTTTCACTAAGTGATTTCATAGAATCAGACTTAGCACTGCAGTGATATTTACTAAAAACTCTTCACATCTATAAAAAAACTCTTAGTGAGAAAAAATCTCTTTTATTATTATTATAACATGACAGAACTGAAGCAGTGACTAGTCAGCGGCATCATATAGAAATAGTTGTTTGAAAAGTCATATAAGTGAGCTTGACTATCTTGCTTAAATAGTAAGCTCATGAGCTACAGAGTTATTGCAAGAATATCACAGATATGATACTTAGTATACTAAGAAGATTGTATAAGAAACACAGTAACTCTTATATATATTTCAGTAGAAGAAAAACAAATCACTGACTTCTTTGATAAGAAGTCAGTATCTAGCTATTTTATATAGACAATGAGTGAATACTCTTCTCTTATTCTATAAGTGAGAATAGTCAGAGTGATATCTCAGCAGTATCTCACTATCAAGAAAGAGTAATCTGCTGATCTTATATAAAAGTGAGATTTTTATATTCATCAATTGAATCTTTCTATAATATATTTGAATAATGTTATAGAGTAATTGAAAACTAGTTCAGACAGAATGAAATCATCTGCATGAAAGTAATGAGCTGTGTGAAATCACAGCAGAGTCTTGATATAACTGAGAGTGTGACAATACTCTCTTCTTTAAGAGCATAGTCTCAATACTCTTAAGATTACTGAATTGAGAGTTATCTTTGTTATATAGTAACAGTTATCAACTGATTAACAGTGTGTATGCTGCACATGATATAAAGAAATAGATGAGTTTTTCTGCTAACTGTGTAGATCTTTCTTTCTCATCTCTGTAACTCTGTTCAAATCAAATGTATGATAAGTGAGTTTCTTATATATCAATTTAAAATGTGAAAAACATAGTTAATAAGTGACTTATAGATCTCTCATTATATTTCATTCTATGTATGAAATTCTCTGCAAAAGTGATATGTTTTAGAGATAAAGCTAACAGTAGTGACAGAATTTTTCAAAAAGATCTCTTCTCTCTGTGAAACATTTTTCTCTCTTCTCTTCTCATCTGTAATAGTGAGTGCATGAGAGCATTATTCTTGAGAGATAATAAGAGACTTATTCTGACATTTTCTAGTGAATAATAAACATCTTCATGATGCAGCTGCAGTCTCTGTGACTGTTAAGAAAGCTCAGTTAAAGGCAGAGACAGCAGTGTCAATGAACTGCAGAAGTACTGCTTTCATTATCACATCTTCTTCTTCTTCTTCTCTTCCTGCTTCTCTTGCAGCTGTGACAGTAGTTACTGTGCCTTGCAGTGAGATGTCATTTCTTCTGTCAGTCAGTTCATTCATATTCAGTTCTTTCTCTGCTTCTCTCACTGCTGTTGCAATATCACCTTTCTTCTCAGTCAACACAGTAATATATGACTCTGTGTGATCATTCAGAGAGAATCTTGAAGAGAGCTTGATTCTGAAAACAGTGACTCTGAGAAGCTCAATTCATAGTTTCTCTCTCATGACATATCTGAGCCCTGCTCAGAATACTGCTGAGTTGAGTCTGCAGAGTCTCACAGTTTCTTTGTCTTCTCTCTGTGAGAAGGCTCTGATGTAGTCTCTGATCAGTATTATCATATATCTGCACTGTGCTAAGCAGCTGAAGAAAGAGAAGATTTTATACACTTATTTCTTCTCTCACTCTTATTATTTTCATTGTATCTGTAACAATAACTTCTGTCTTTCTGTAAGTATTATCTACTCTATAAGAAGATGTTATATTGATTCTGATAAGAAGCTCAGATGCTCAAGCAGTACAGAGTGAGAATCTCAGAGCTTTAAGTATTGACAGATTTCATCAAGACTGAGAAGATCTCTCTTACTCATCTGTAAAAGAAGATGAAAGTGTGAATCTCTGAGATGAAAAACCACCTTAGAATGACTAGTCTTAAGAAAAAGTCAGTCAGTACTGTTATTGAAAGCACTGCAGAGATCAATCACTGATTGAAGAGAATCTCACTTCAGTTGAAGCAGATGACTGAGATGCTTTATAAGTTAATAAGTTGATAATTTCAGTATCTCTTATACTCTTCATATATACTCTTCTGTAGCATGCTACTCTGCAGTGCCACAGTACTAACTTCTCAGCAGATAAAGATATCAATATTAGAGACTTCAACAGTGAAGAATAAGTTTGATGAAGATATGATTATTAATAAGTAGACTCTGAGATTCTCTCTTTTTACTTTTTCAGTGAGCTGCAGTCTTATTAGAATAGCAGTAGTCTGCAGATTAATAATATTAATCTTTTTATTAATTTTAAATATCTCTTTTCTCTAATCACTTCAGAAATTTTACACTTGTATAGTCTCATTAAACTTCTAAAAAACTCTTTGAAAGAAAATAGAAGAAGAGTGTTACAGAGCTTATAAGATACTGACTCATCACTGTAAGATTATCTTTAAAAAAATTCTTTAAGAAAAAATAAGAAGTCTTAAGTAGTATTTCTTACTCAACATCTCTGATATATAACAGAGTAATCTCTACTAGCTGTCTCATAGCTTGCAATCTCTTTCTCAGTATTTTTCAAATGCTCAAGTAGTTTTCATAAATTCTCTGATAATGAATAATCTTTTTATTTAATAAGATATTAAAGCTTACTATAATGTATTTACTTATTCAATATTTTCTTCATAAGATATTCAGTATCACTCTCAATCTTGATATCATTCAGTCAAGACAGCTTCATCTCAAGACATTGCTTATAGAGCTTTAAATAGAAAATGTGAAAAATAGAATGAATTGATTTCAATTCTGTAAGTAATTTCAACTTATATATCTGTTTATTTATCACTCTTATTACTGAGAAAGGTTCTAGTCATCACTTACTAAGCTTCTTACACAGTCTTGTTATCTTGATATTTTTTGTTAAAAGTAGTACTTAATTCTCTATCAAGAACTTCATTAAAAGATGTTTTTAATTATAGTATTTCATCTGCTGCTTCTGAACATAGTAAATACTTTTCATCATCTTCTTATAAATTTTATTCAAAAGTTTCAATCTTACTTTTACTTCTGATACTGAGAAGTACTCTGTTCTCTGTATCTATTTAATATTCTAACTGTCTATTTCTCTCTTTGAAACATCATTCATAATGTCACTGAATAATGAAGAATTATATTCATAATAAGTATAGAAAGAAGATACTTTTAAGATTATATTCTTTGTATTATTATATATAAATTCAGTGATCAGAAGATGTTTAAGTCAATTATTCTGATAATATAAACAGAATACTCAAAGATGCTGTTCTAGTATCTGATTCTGATATTCAGTCTAACTATCTGTCTGTAGATGAAATGTGATACTGAGAAGATATCTTATTATAAG